ATCGAACGCATGCAAACGGTGGAGGCCACTTGCAGCGAGTCCCAAACAAGGGATTTGATGATGCTTCTTTGATGCATATTTGGAAACATGTCAAGTGGTCAGTATACCGTACGCAATGTTGACCTCAGCTCAAAAATAAATAAACAATCAGTATCGTGCACCAGCTAAGGGCCCATCATGACCGCATGGGGCAAGCTCGGAAAGCAGCCGTGCCCGCCTTGCAAGATGGTGCAGCGGTGGTGCCCCAGCAGCAGGCTCCTGTCATGCCGAAGGCCAAGGGGGCTGCCAAGAAGAACCCCTACATGTTTGCAAAGAACATCTCTGGCAAAATCACAGCGATCTCTGGCAAGTACACGGATGCAATCTGCTGGGAGACAAAGTTGGCAGAGTCAAGCTTGACATTTGGGCTGACTTAACAATATTCATGTTTAAATTGCATGACCATATGTTAATTTATAGCTGTCTAATTTAAAACCCTGATCACTCAAGTCCTCAAACCACCCGATTTGTTCCAGCACACTCATTTCTACGAGTCCCAAACCAGTTTGTTTGATCCAAGGACGGATGCCATGAAGAAGGGCTACAGCGAGGAGCTTTCAAAAAGAAAGTGCGCCCTCACTGCAACGAGGGAGGCCATGGACATCTGGTATGCTCAGCACAGCAGGATTCGTGATGATGAACTTGAAGAGGGCCCAACGCAGGAGTTCAACAAGCTTTTGGGACAGGCTGAAAGTGCCTGTGCAGATTACTCAGGGTTCTTGAAGAACCTTCGCCCGGCCATTGAAGCCCCTTGGCACGCATATGGTTTGGCCAAATTGTTGACATCATATGGTCAGTGCTTGCTTTGTCAATCAGCATATGGCTTTAATTACTTCGTCTAAGGGCATCAAGCCTGCAGCCAAAAAAGCGGCTTGCAAGAAGAGGAGCCGCTGAAAGCCTGATCTGCATTAGAAATGATTTTGAGTGGTGTCTGCAAGCCATGATTAGGGAGGGGTGCAGTGAGTAGCCCAGATGTTGCACATGCAAGTGTATCCTGGGGCACCCAGCTGGTGCACATGTGAAACTGGAGCAAACTCAGTACATACGATTTAAGTCTCATGACGGTTTGAACTCAAATTGTGATCAGATTTCATTGACACATGAAAACTGGAACCAATGCTCGCATGAGTGCCCCGGGGGCAAATCGATCCGCTATAGCCCGCTTGGATTGTGTGATGTCTGACGTCACTGCTAGCTCATTGTGGTGTGCAAATGCTGCGAGTTAACCACATGCGCAGGCCGAAAGAAAACAGATAAGTGGGCGTGCTTGCATATGCACATGTATAGTTGGAGATGCAGCTTGCAAGCCTACATGCGTGCAACATTGAATATCCTGTCTGCCCACTCCTTTCCCCTCGCAGGTGCTGGGCGTGGAAATGCAACAACGTCACCATTTCTTCGCTATTTGATTGAAAGAGCAGGCCGAGGTGCTACTTGGCTTGCACTCAAAATATTTCACATGCATGACCACTAGTACATGAAATTCAACCTTTGCCTTATCTGCGTGATGAGCTCAGGAGGCATCATTCAAAGGTGCAAGAGAGGCTCTCCGGGCTGTCTCAAAGGAGCGTGTGTGAAACTGCATGTGTGTGTGATTGACATCTATATATGCATGAAGTCTGCATGCATTCCCAGGAATTCCAGTGGCATGGGCACAAGCTTCAAGGGCCGTGCAACCGACTACGAGCGGCAGGAGGATATGGCAAATGGAGCAGTAACATTCAGCGTGACATGCTTTCCAAGCTAGGAACCAGGCATAGTGCAGCTTGACACAATTTGTATATGTGACCCTGTACATGTGCACATGCATAGGCATGTGAGTTGTGTGATATATGGAACAAAGTTCTACTGCAGGTGCCAATCAGCTTCATCCCTGTTCCCACCCGTCCTGATCGCCACCGTGCCGGAGTTGTCATCAGGCCGGCCAGCATGCGCACGCAGTGCAAACCCAAACCCAGTCTAGGAAGCACTAATTTATATTTGAATGATTGCAACACACGCCATATAATTAAACGGTGTTCATTTGATCGAGTATATAGCGCTAGGCAGATGCCCGTGATTTTGCCTCACGTGCTGATCCCGTGGCTGATGTATCATGACCTGCTATCACCTGATGAGCCTGCCAATCGGAAATTTTGGGACCATGATGGGTGTTGGTCTTCGGCAGCTGCCACCCCACATCACATCCCGCTTTACTTGTGGGGTGATGATGCTGTGTACTTGGAAACTGGGGGGGACAAGATCCTCTGCATCACCCTGGGTGCCATTATGGATGAAAGGAAAGATTCATTCAACTCATGCTGGCCGCTGGCAATTGTTCGCTGTGACCTTTGGTAGCAATAAACGTAAATTTAATATGAGTTGATTTGCATTTAGAGCAATCGTCCTTGATCAGGATTTATCCCTGGGCTTTCCAACCCTGCAAGCAATCCTTGACCCGGCCACTTTGATGCACATGGTGCAGTTCCCAGCCACTAGCTAGTGTGCGCTCAACAATTTCAAGTGATTCATTGCAATGCAATTATCAATTCGAACTATAATACTGTACCTAAGGTGGTGGAATCCCTGAACAAGCTCCATGAGGGGGTGCAGCTCTCAAAAATTGCTGAAGATTGGGGAGGTGATGCAGCGAGCAAAGGGTGGTGGGAGGGTGACTTCGCCTACGCTGCTGTGGTACAACTTCGAGGGGATTGGAAGTGGCAACGGGCTGCGTGGCTATACCCTGTGTACTTGCATTGGTTAATGTGCCGCATATAGAATCAATCAAACATGGCCTTTCAGATTATTCTGACCTAAGGAATGGCTGAACATGAAGGTGAGCTACAGTGCCAGCTATGTATGCCACACGTGTGTGGCAACCAAGGACCAAGTCTTGCTTCCCCTTCTTCCCGCCCGTGATGGTAATTTGAGAGACATTCTCAAGCCACCATTCAGTGCCCCGGCAGATTAATTGATCAACACTAGAAACAGTGCGTATGTGATCCTGATCTTTCGAGTAACTCAGGTGCCTTATCAAACCTTCGGGGATTCAATGCACATTGGATCACGTGGTGCTCAATGCACATGCTGAACCTTGGGGTATGTGCTTGGGTTTCTGGCAGTGCCCTGAAAACCTTCACTGGCTGGAACATTTGGGCAGCAAACCTCGATGGTGCAGAAACCCAGCTAGGCAAGGCATACCTTGACTTTTCCGCGTGGGCAAAGGCCCGCAAGATCCCGTGACTTGGTGAGCACGCATGCTGTCATGTTGTGAAAGTTATATATATTGGTTAAACGTTGAAGTGCAAGCATGCACATGCTGGCGCGCAAAAAATCCAAGGCATTCTCAAGCGTGCTTCAAGCTGGTGTATCCTCAAGGGTCTGTGTACCCGGAGCTAGCTGCAAAAGCGTATAACGTACCTTGGTACAGTATACTCATGATCAGTTTTGCAGCTGCAAGCATGCATATGCGTGAGGCGCGAGTGGTGACCGCGTGGCTGGCGGATTTTTGTGTGCAGATGCTTCGCAGTGCTGATGCTGGCGCTGATGGCGACAGATTTGAAGAGCTGGAGTTAATTGCAAAGTGCTCGCTTCTTGGCTAGTGTGTGTGTGTGTGTGTGCAAGACATATGAAACGTTTTATGCTCGATTTGTGCCTAACACGTTGCTAAGGTGGCATTTGGGTGCTTGGTTCAACATGGTGGAAGATTGCGGCCGCTTCCTAAGTCTGGATCAAGCGCGGTGCCTATGGACGCATTGCGTATCTCGGTTGCAAATGTTCTGCGCGTGCATGTGTGTGTGTGTCTTCGCATGTGTGTGCTACCTGTTTTAACAAACTGCCTGCACCCAGGATGAGTGCCTCAATGCTTATGCTGCCCTTGCTATGTGTGCAGTGCAGCGAGAGGAGCACCTTTGGCCCGCAAAGCCAAAGCTGCATGTGCCCCGGCTTCAAATATATGATTTAAATTGCTGCGCTGTGTACATGTTGTTATTGAATTTGGATCATGTGCTGACACCTAAGGGCTTTCGCGAAATAGCGCGGTATCAGTTGGACAACCGCCCCTTGCTAGCGCATATCATGACCCATAATATAGTTGTTTATTGCACATGTGATCAGTGTCCGAGGTCTAAATTCGCGCTTCTTTCATGGATTTAAGCAGGAAGACATGATTGGAAAGGTGACCAGTCTCTTGCTAGCAGCATCGTCACACGTATGCCTGCCCATGTTTGCTGCATGACCAGCATCATGTGAGTGACTATCTGAGGCTTGGCAGCGAGATGCCACAAAAATTCCCTCGAGAGGCTGGTGCTGAAGCGGTGGTTCCTCAGGTGCGGCCTGTATGATGCACATGCGTGTGCGTGAAACATTTTGTAACTCAGGTTGCAACATGGGCTCCAACCTGATGATCTTTCTGAATCGGAATGATGCTGGGGAGTGCGGGGAAAATATGGCGGCCCGAACATGGCCTGAGGATGGTCTCAGGAATTAAACCTTTTGAGAAGGGTCTTTTTTTGGAAGTAGCTTCTAATTCAATACTCATGACCCTTAGGGCTTCAAGCAAGCTGCAAAATGTTGAATACTAAGCTGGCCTGTGCTGGGAAATTTCCACCATGTGCTTGCTTGCTGCTTAATACAATGCCGTTCGTTGCCTGTTTGCTCCCCAAGCCGAGCCGGACCCTTGCTCAAATCGTGAAAGTGGACCAGGGGGACTAAGCAAGAGGATGGTAGTGAACCTCCAATCGTCCGCTATCATCACTCTGCGGTCCCGGGTTCATGCGGAATGCCTAGGGTCCTGACCTGGTTGGAACTAAAGCAAGGAAACCAAGCACCTAACCACTTGAACCTACCTGGACCCTCAAACTGCCCGAAAAAAACGGACTTCACCCAATCAGTTTGGGACAATCACCCATTCTCATGGGCAGTTTGAGGGTGATGGTGCACCCACGCCCAACACGTCACCAACTCCCCGGATCAGCACCGTCCTGGAGCTCCCCCAGGCCCAAACCTCGCAGTGAAGGGCTTCAGCTCAACTCCCCCCCACCCCAGCCCACCCCAGCCCACCCCACCCTCCAGCCCGAAAAGGGTTCCTCTAATACTTGATTCCTTGTCCATTCTTTTCAGCCATCGTTCTTTTCAAAAACCAGATCCATTTCCCAAGGTTTTTGGTGGTTTTCTAGAAAGAAGGATCCCTGGAAAGAATGGGGAAGTTATTCCTAGAGTTCCCCGCACGGCTTCCCTTCCCAACAAACCCGCATGGCGTCCCTTCCCCAAAACGCGACCGCCCCAAACACAAAGAAGCAAGACACAAAGTCTGCAGCCAAGGGCGAGAAAGTAAGATGGCAACCAAAGCCTTCGACGCAGAAAGAGCTGCTGAAACCGCCAAGCCCGAGCCGCGTCCCCGGACTCGGTGACCGCCACGCAGTGGGAGTGGCCGCAGCCCAGCTGCGCCACTGCCAGGTGGCTCAGTGCCGCCACTTGCCGCGGCAGCATCTCCTCGGCCAATGCCGACGTGGTGTTTAGATGTAGCATTTCTTGGAACCCTGAAGGTGCCAGAATTTGGCCACTTGTCGTGAATGTGCTCCATTACCAACTCAAGGGTGTCTTCTTCTCCAAAGGGAGGATATGCCAATAGGGTTGCTTGGGGGTACCCAATACTTAAACAACATGTTCAGATTCTGCTCCAGATGGCGTCTACCCTAACATATCCAATAGTCTTGCAGGAGGTCCCAGAGGCTGGGAGAGTCCATCCTCAAAGGGCACCGCGATTCCGAATCCTACCCAAACATGTTGAGCCGGCCCCTTTTCAGACTGTGGGGAAAAATATCCAAAATGGGTTGCCCTGGGTAAATGGCAACATGGCGGTACATGTTGAACCGGCCCGGATATGTTTTTGAAGGTGACAGGCTTCCAAAACGCCTGGCGCGCTTTGCCTATAGGAGACCGGGTTCCCTCACTTGGCCCCCAACTTCAACTTGGTGGCCTTCCTTTTGGCTTTCCTAAACCAAGCAGAAATGAGAACCCCAAAAGAAGCACAAACCAATCTTCTGAAGTTCCATCTTGCTTTGCTCAAAGCACGGGATGAGTGCTTTCATTTAGGCCGGTCCCAAAAGGAGCCTGAAGGGGGCTGTTGTCAGGGAGCCTCTGGTGTTCCCAGATGTTCGTGATTTTTTGGCCACCGTTCCCTCACACCGTTGTTCCCAAGGTGCTAAATCGCCCATAACTTTCGAGCTTCCAACGAGGAAGCCCAGCGGCGATGGGCTATCTGTTCAATTTTTTCCAGACCCTCACAACCAGGCTCGGCTACCTCAGCCATGTGGAGTAGAACAAAGCCCACCCAAGCCGCCCTTCTGCAACACGCAGCCAAGCAACCATGCAACGAGCTACCATTTAGCCATGTCCACCAATAACTTTGGAGGTGGTTCCCTATTAAAATTCGTAGCCATTTCTGGTCCCCCACCGGGAAGTCCACAAACCGCCCAGGATCAATGAACAACACGACCATGGATCGAAGAATGACGGTTGGGCCTCTCCCCTACGAACGCCAAGGCAGTTGGATGCACAACACGCCAACAAGCACAATTTCCCCAAAAACAGGCACCTCCGCAAATCTTTAAAACATAAAGCAGAAAAGCGGAACGTGGCAGGGACAACTTGTGGAATCTGGGAGGAAGCCTTTTAAACCGCGGCTGATCCAAGCTGCATCCACCTCCGCGCCTTGGGAAGCGTGGCCCAAACGCCCAGCCTGGCAGGCTATGACGGGTCGCCGAGGGCATGCGTCGAGTCACATGGCTTCTAGAACCTGGGTATGCGAGCCACTTCCCGGACGAACGGGGCTTGTTCGACAAATCAGATTCAAACAACTTCTGTTGCAATGGACAACAGAGCTGCGGGTTGGAACCCTTGCAGTTGATGGTAGTTGGAAACAGTGGCATTGCCGTGCAGTGCCCCAAAACATCTTCCTACTAGTTTCCCTTTGAACTGAGCTGAGGGTAACTTCAGGAAAGCACCCTCCCATCCTGTCTCAAAGGCTTAGCATGCAAGCAAGCACGCCAGCCAGGAAGCAAGCAAGCAAGCAAGCAAGCAAGCAAGCAAGCAAGCAAGCAAGCAAGCAAGCAAGCAAGCAAGCAAGCAAGCAAGCAAGCAAAGGAAGGAAGGAAGGAAGGAAGGAAGGAAGGAAGGAAGGAAGGAAGGAAGGAAGGAAGAAAACAAGCAAGCAGGCAGGTAGGCAGGCAGGCAAGCACGCCAGCAAGCACGCCAGCAAGCACGCCAGCAAGCACGCCAGCAAGCACGCCAGCCAGCCAGGAAGCAAGGAAGCAAGGAGGCAAGGAAGCAAGGAAGCAAGGAAGCAAGGAAGCAAAGAAGCAAGGAAGCAAGGAAGAAAGGAAGCAAGGAAGCAAGGAAGCAAGGACAAGGAAGCAAGGAAGCAAGGAAGCAAGGAAGCAAGGAAGCAAGGAAGCAAGGAAGCAAGGAAGCAAGGAAGCAAGGAAGCAAGGAAGCAAGGAAGCAAGGAAGCAAGGAAGGAAGGAAGGAAGGAGGCAGGCAGGCAGGCAGGCAGGCAGGCAGGCAAGCACGCCAGCAAGGAAGCAAGGAAGGAAGGAAGCAAGCAAGCAAGCAAACAAGCAGGCAAGCACGCCAGCAAGCACGCCAGCAAGCAAGCAAGCAAGCAAGGAAGGAAGGAAGGAAGCAAGCAGGGAGGCCAGCAAGCAGGCCAGCAACCCAGTAAATCAATCAAAACAAAACAAGAAAACACCTACGAACCAACGAAAAACATCACTTGAAAGAAGAGCGCCGGTGGCCGGCGCAGGTACGCCCCTCTTGCTGCCTGGCCCCAGGTGAAGACCTCACCCTTCTGGGTGAGGGCAGCCGAGTGGTGAGGCCCTAGGGACACTTGCACCACCCGCCGGCCTCGGCCAAACAAAGGCGCAATGTGGGGTGTGGGAGGTGTGGGAGGTGTGGGAGGTGCCGGAGGTGTGGGAGGTGTGGGAGGTGTGAGAGGTGTGGGAGGTGTGAGAGGTGTGGGAGGTGTGGGAGGTGTGGGAGGTGTGGGAGGTGTGGGAGGGCGGGGTTGTGCCACAAGGAAAACCCAAAGGGAAACCTGACAAGGTAGTCTTTGGGTGCAACACCGCACCGCAATTTAGCCAATACACAATTTCAGAAAGCGGTGGGACCCTGATGCCAATGTGTGGGATTCTGTACATTCACATACAGGGCCTCCAGCTTCGTTCTCATAGACACTGGTTACACAGTAAATCCGGGGTTGGCCTTATGAGATAGCAGCCACCAAGGGCCACCAAAACTTGGCTGTTCAATTTGATTTGAACTTTGCAAGGGGCAAGACACGAGCAAACCACTAGTGATTTTGGCACCCCCCCCCCCCTGCACCCACAAACCAACAAAAACTTAAAAAAAGAAAAAGGAAAAACAGTGTCAAACTGGGCATGGCCACCTTGCAGGGCGATGACCACCTTGGGCGCCGTCTGCGCCAGGCGATTCCCGTGGCCCAACTTGCCAAAGGCACCTGCATTCGTGCGGATGAAGCCCCAACTGAACTTGCTGGTGCGAGAGATGCAGGGAATGAGTCGGATGGAATGACCCCCCAATTCGAGGTTTCCTTTAAGGGCATCGACCTGGGTTCATTCCAATTCACATTCCCTACTCAGCACCAGCAAGTGAATACTGATTGCCAGGCCACCTGCTGACTGGCTTGGACCAAATCCATTCCCATCAGTCTGAGTGACTCGGTGGAGGCTTGGCCTGGGATTCCTCAGCTTATCCTATGAGGCAGTGATACATGACTGAAACAACTCGAGCCCATGTTCAACCCAACCTGACGAAATAGGACACCTATCTGGGCAATCGCTTTAATTCAACAACAACCACCTGAATAAAGGCGAGCTCGTTTTATCCCTGGATCAGTGAGGTCGTTGTAGTTTGCTCGTTGTAGCTTGCCCAGGCCTACTGCGGACAGTCAAAGTAGCCTCCCAGTTTGGATGGATGTACTTGGGTCAACCAGCCGCCACCTGGTGCGAGGTGGATGTTGTCGGTCCACAGGATCTGCAACTGAAATAAGAAATAGATCTCTAAAGGACCAGCATCAATGAATTTCGCTCGTTTTACCCCTGGATTGGTGGAATCACTCGCAATAAAACTGGGTGAGACGTGGACCCCTGCGAAAAGTTAAGTGTTTGCCGGTCGAAACCTGGCCAAACCACAAAGTCGAAAGGGTAATGTAACAATTGCAATCGTCAAACCTCGAACCAAACCAACATAAGACAGAAGGAACAAGCTGCTGCCTTCTGACTCTGAAAATGAGTTTCACAGCACACCGTTCCAAGGCCTCCGCCCCAAGTCATCACCTGCCAATGGTCCACAGCTGCAGTGTGGTGACCTCCGCACGCCAAGGTCGTCACCTGCGCGGACAAACGGAGAGAGGTGACCATCAAACCTTTGGCTTTGGGGAAGCAGAACCTAATGCCGACTTGCTGTGAACTAAGTGTGAGGAACTGTGCAGCACAACTAGTGAAGGAAGGATCGACCAAGCCCTGCCATTGGGGTCGGCCAGAAACAATGGATGCATCCTACACTGTCGCAAATTTACTGGTAAACAAAGCTAATCCCACCAAAAACATGTATTACTGCTTGTTTTTTTGTTGTTTCCTCTGAATCTTGCCACCAGGACTGGCATGCTTGCACGCCACAAACCTCTTGCAGCTCCCTGCCTGCATGCCTGTGAGCGCCTCGACGAAGGTCGGAGAAAACCTGCGGCGAGGTCAGTTCCGACAGCTGCCCTCCAGGGTTGGGCAAAATTGGCCTGACAACCAGGCCCTTGTCCCCTTGCAAAAGATGAAAGGAGGCGCTTGGCTATCCTGGTGAACTCCCCCCCCTTTGTGGGGATCCTTCTTGTCACACTCGCAAAAGAAAATAAGTCAAAAGATGTCAGAAAGTCCCGCAAACGGAAGCTGGTCCAGGCATTCTCCGCTAGCCTCCATGTTGCCCGGACCATCCAAGACAAAGCGGAACCCGGCCAGCGACCTTCGCTGTTTGCTTCCTACCCATCGTCATTTCTCTAGGGCTGTTCCAAAGACCCCTGACAAAGCGAACATCAGCCAACCAACGTAAACCAACTCACCATATTTCCCATGGGCTGGTCATCTGTTGGGAGCCAAAGGAGCAAGCAAGCCTGCTTCTGTCAAAACAAACGACTTGTTTCCCCAAAGCACCTGGACTTCTTTCGTGTTTCCTGGCTCTGGTTTGAGCCTCCCCTGCTTTTGTTCAGCTTGATGGCAGCGCGTTCAGGGTAAGCCTGACGAAGGAAAATTCCAGTGGTTGCAACTACCTGACCCCTCGCCCAACCCACATCTGGATGTGATTTTTCTGGGTCCCGGATCCGTTGCTGGAATTTAGGCGGGGATGTATGTCCACTAGCCACTTTTGAGACAAAGTCACTGGCAACTCAAGATGAAGTTCAAAGTACCCGCAAAGCAGACCTGCAACAACCCCTGACCTCCCCCGGCCTGTCGCTCTCGTCTCCGTGGCCCAAGCGCCCAGAGAGGCCCAGACCCCAGGTGTAGACGTGCGGGGCGTTCTGCAAGATGCAGCCCTTGCAGCTCGCTCGAGTGGGGGCTGGGCTCTGACAAACTTCCACCTGTCCAAGAGAAGAGGGTCCCTTGAGTGAGCGGATAGCATTGTAGCATTGTAACACCCGAGGCCGCACTCGGCAGCGCCAAGGAGGTTGCGTAAACATGTTTTTTGCAAGGGCAACCCGGCTTCCCAAAATTATGGACCTGGTGCCTGGCACTCATGCTTCATTCAGCCCAAAGGGTCCCTTACCTCAATGTAGCGAATGTAGGGGCCCAAAGGGCTCACAAGGCCTCCACGTGGCAGGTCTTCTTGCTTCGGGCATCCATGTTCAAACGCCCCAATGGCCCCGCGTGCTCAGCATACCGCACATACCGCAGAGCCAGGCATGCAATTCCACACTGCTTCCCAGAATCCCCGGTGCTGCCCCGGCGCCGTGTGGAATTCCCCGCAGGCCACCAGCCCCACCGAGTGGCCGGACAGCACCTACAGGCGTCGTTGCGGGCTGCTGGATAGCCCGAAACCCCTGGAAGCTCGACTTTGTCTTTGCCTTTAGCTCTAGCTAGGACTCCCAGAAAGTGCTCGCGGTTTTGCCCAAACCGTGTAAGTGGGCGCTGTGTCTTTTTGAGATCGCGTTGGTTTGGTTTTGGAGGAAACCCACTGGAAAACAACGTCCCTTTGCCCTCAACCCAGCTTTCACCAGGATGAACCTTTGAAACAACTACAGATCGATTCGCATTTGGGCCAACCCTTAATCTCAACAAGTTCAATGACCCATTGAAACTTGTTCTTCTTGGATCTCCTGCGGGGCGGAAACTCGGGGAGTTGCAAGAAGTTCCTGCCCAAGCCATGGCTCAGGGCTCCTAAAAAAACGACGCGGGCCTCCACAGCCTTTGGGAGGAGCTCGTTCTCTTCCCCGCCGTGGCCCAGGCGCCCGTTCTGGCCTGGCACCGGGCGGTATCGGAAAAAAAGTACCCTTCGACCAGGGGTCATCTGGCCACTACGCCACGCTTGCAACTTGCAACGTAGCCACTACCTCCCGAATGTCGGCCTGCTGAACAGTTGGATACTCACCCGCAGGCCGACTTCGACGAATCCTGGCTTTGGAAAGCAGCCCCTTCTCGGCATGCATGTTGATTGCAAAGAGCGAGGCGCGCTCGGTGAAGGGCTGCTTCGGATGAACCATTTGCACCGAGGCCCCTTTAGGAAAACAAGCCCGCCGAGACACGGTGGATGCCCTACACATGGCGAATGAACCAGCCACATCCAACAACCAATTCCTTAACTTCCAGTAGCGTCCATGATTCCCCGTCCTCCCCCTCACTTGCATTCGCATTGCGCCGGCAGCAACTCACAGGTTAAAGTTGGTCCAATGACGGGGTGGACCATTGACCCGGCAAATGGAAAGCAAAAAGCACCATCTACCCTTAGGTTTTGAGCTCGGGGCAACCGCGGCAAACCTTTCGCAGCATGCGACAGCTGACTCGATGCCTCGGCCCCAGGTGTAGAGAACGCCAAGGTCCGACACGGCGCCAACGTGGTGCTCCCCACAGGACACACTGCGGACCACCTTGCAGCTGGTGTGTGGTGGGGGCGGGCTAGAGCAGAACGATTGACATCCTGCTAAATGAGCAATCATTCCAAAACCAGAAATGAGGGATTTTCCAGGACCTACCTCCTAGTGAGCTCGTTTCACTCAAGAAATGGATCGATGTCCGACTTGGGGGCCCACGCTCCGCACCATCCGGATGACATGAGTTTAGGGGGTGTGACAAGCATTCATCATAATTGTGATCAAAAACGCTGTTAAGCAACACCGGCTGCTTCAAGCATCTCTCCGGAGGAGTCCACCAGCAGGGGTCTTGCTCACGGGTGAGCTCTTTTTTTGAAAAATCGATGGTGCCGGTAAATGAGCTGAGAAAAAACAAACCCGGCAAAACCCATGTGGGCTTTGTGACGCCCAGTTTTGGTTAGTTGGGCTCCCTAGTTTTCAGACTGGAGCCAGACATCCGCTATTTTTGAGACAAACCGGAATTCCCTACCCGGCCATTGCCCCCAACCAAAACAACAAGTTTGATTCCGGCCATAGGTTGCCAACCTCAAATGCAGACAAGCACATCTCAAAAGAGATCCCTTCTTCTTCTTCTTCTTCTTCTTCTTCTTCTTCTTCTTGGGGTGGGGGGGGGGATTTTTTGTTCACCAATCCATTTCCCGCTCCACCTAGACCCTAGACTTAGAGCCTAAAACCTATTGCCCGGATGGGCCACAACCTCCCAAATCGGCCCTTCCGGTCGGCCGACTCCCATTTTGGGCCTTGGACTGCAAGCCCCGCACCGAGCGGGGCATGTGCACGTCCTTGGCGTCCCCATGGCCCAGCTGGCCATCTTTGCCATAGCCTCGGAAACGACCCAAAGCGCACGGAGCTCCCTGCGGCGCGGTTGGAAGTCGAGCCACCAAACGTTGGTTTCAAAGGAAAAGGGAAGCAACAGAATTTGTTTGGGTCCCTGAAAAGGATTTCTACACCGGAAAACAGCAGCTTCTTTATTCAGAGGGAAAGGCAAAGACGTTCTGGAGGCTCTCAGGGTGCATAGCTCTTGGATGCTCACCCACAGTCTACGTAGGTGATAACGGCTGCTGGTCCACCAGGCCCTGTCGATCCAAGTCTAACCTACTGACTAAGTGGGGTCTGGAGAGGTGCTTTGCCTGTACGGTTCAATCGCGTCGCATTTTTGTTTCGCCAGCGTGGTTTCTTCATGGGACCTATGAGGGAGCTACGGACCCAGTCACTGCAAGGCGGATCGCCCAAAGGCTCCTGCTTGGACCACATGCCCACCGGGGCAGGGTAAACAATTGAGCGGGTGAACGAAACTTGGCCAGACGACATGATTGACCCAGGGGTTGCCAAGAAGAATGCCAATCCCAAAAACTTGGACCAGGTCGTAATGTAGATTCCCCAGCTACAAAAACATGCAGGCGAGATTCCAAAACAAATCCAAAATCTGGGCGGTGCTCAGTAGGGAATGACCCAGGGTGTTGGAAATGAACCTCGAAAGGAAACCATAGGAGATGGTTTTTAGGGGTCATTCCCTCATTCCCTGCTGAGAACCAGCAAGCTCGACAGTTTTCTTGACTTTGTTATTTTTGGAAACGGCTTTCCGGAGCAACTCTGACCCAAGTCCCAACAAAGTCGGGCGAGGGCGTGCGGGCCAAACTTGCATGCCCAAGGAAGAAAGCTGAATTTCTAAAGCTTCCCAGTCACCTCCTCTTGGAAGCGTTTCATCTCCTCAAATATGAGTTTCCCCTTTCAAAATCCGTCTTTTGCTGTCTCAACCCAAGGCCGACATTAAAATGGGAAGCGGGCCTCGAAAAGGAGTTAAAAGTGTGTCGTCCACAAGTGATTCAAGAGCGCCACTGAACACACAAAGAAACGAAGCCAAATGTTCTCTTCATTGGCCGGGAACGGGGATGGTTTTTTCATGCCCCATCTCTCTGTAATGGACATTCTATTCACAAATGCTTAACATTTGACAGGGGTTGAATACCCGATGAATTCAAATGAGAGATGCATCATGGCCTATTATAAATTGGATCGTTTTTGTTTTTTTGACATAGGCTCTTTATCGACTTGAGGAGTTTCATCTTTGACGCTTTGACGTTCTGAATCGTTCTGATGATGTTTTAACAATAGACAGAACCATTTAGGGAAGTACCTCAGCGTGCAAGTTTAGGGTCCTCGTAGATGTGGAAGAATACGAGGACCCATGCTACGCATTGCAAGCCTGTTGCGCTCAAAAACAACCTGGCGGGTGCCAAGTGTAAATGATAGGCAGGCCTCAGCTTGAAAAAAGGTGGGTGGGAACGCGCATTTTGAGAATTTGGAAGTAAGTTGTGGGATAATGAATTAGCAACTTGAGCCACATATGCATACTAGGAGGCATGAGACTTTAGAGTAGAATAACCTGCTGACAATTGGCGATGAGCTACACAAAGCAAAGCTCTCACCAGGTCAACAGGTCAAAGGAAGCAAACTCTTCAGAGGGCCTTCCAAGCTTGGTGATGCTGTGCTGATAATGTGCAATTGTCAGTTGTCTCTGCGTATGCCTCAGCTTGCAAGCAAATGGTGGGCCATGGCTGGTCACACTAGGAGGTGCCAGAAGACGCCACTAGTCATCGTGAAAATTTCGAATCCTCCCGCGAAAGGCTCGCCACGAGCTTTACCAGAGTGGTGCGGCTGCCCAGGTCGCGTTCCGCCCGGGCACGTTGAGTGTTGTTCGTCCGGGAAAAATGGCTCCTTCATCCGAATCATTGGGGACAAAACAAACCTGGAAGTGGACAGGACAATCTCGGAAATGAACAAAACAAACCGCCGGCCCTCTCCTGGGGCTCCCTTCTTGCAGCTTCCATGAGTTTCAGGGGATCCTTGAAAGCCCAGTGGCCATCAGCGACCGTTTCGTGACTACTAGTGACTTGGCGAGTGACTCTAGTGACCTTGTCGTGACTCTTGGGCTCTTAGGGGCCTTTTTTTTCCGACCCCTCAGCGGCCCAACCTTCCAATGGCTCCCCTTGGTTTCTAAAGGCGAACCAATGGTCCGAGCCAAGGGGCCCCAGGTATAGAGCTCCCCGGTCTCCGAGACGGCGGCAGAGAAGTAGCCCCCGCAGGCCACCTGCGTTGCGCTCGCGGTTTTTTTCGCGCCAAAAGGAAGCAACACCATCCGTTTTTCGGGTTACGCGCGCGATTTTCGCGTGCGCCGAAAGCAAGGAAAATGCTGCCAACTCACATTTTGGGGTACTGATGTTTATTGTGGGTTGCATTTAGGCAAAAGTCCTGCCTGTTCAAGGGTACATTTTTGGGTTGCATTTGCAACTAGGGTCCTTTCAGAAAGGAGCCTGAGCAACGCATCGCCCCCACTGGGTCCAAAAGTGTGACTTCCTCAAAATTATTCCCGAATTTGTGGTTTACACGGGCTGGTGGTGCCCTACTGGATCCATAAATGTGACATCCTTAATGAAAATCGCCCCTGAACGGGTGGTTTAAGCGGACACTCCAAACCACAACCTGAGAACTCTGAAGCTGGCAGCGCCCTTGCCGCCCTTCCCGCCTGTCTCAGAGGCGAGCTTCGGAGACCCTCCAGAAGTCGAGGCGCCACCGCCTTGTCCTGCGTAGCGAGCGACTCGCAGGCACAAGTGGCTCTTTGTTTTGATGCCGTGCTCAATCTGCAAGGGGGGCATGCGATTTTGTTTTCTTTAGGGTAGGGGAACACCTGCTTTGCTTTTTTCAGAAGGGGCCGCCAGGTCTGCGATTTCGAACCCACCGAAACCGAGTTCCAACCCAACGTGACGGATGACAAAGAAGAAACGGAGGGTGGACGGTGCCCCAAATTTGGTCGCTGGTTCTTGGTGACCCTTGTGCCGATCGGCCCGAAGGCTCATTGGTGAACGGTGTCCTCTTTCCCGAGGAGCCGGGATCAAATTTCAACCCTCGTGCCGATCGGTTCAAATGAAAGCAACCCTGTACACAGCCCGGCCTTCTCTCGGCATTGTCAGGAGTGTGTTTCATGCATGTCTGATATGTTATGGCGCGCAAACAAGTGTATATATGTATGTATAGTGAACACATTTTTGGGTGAGTTTGTCCCCCCTCTGCCCCAAGAAAGGGAGTTGAACTGTTGCCTTGTTGGGGAAGACACTTTTTCAAGAAATCGAAACGTTAAGCAACCAAACAATGTTGGTTGTCCCAAGGATGGACCAAGAGCCATGGAAGTAGAACTCCCCAGTGTCCACAGCCCTCTCTTCAGACCCGGCAAGTGTATCTGGCTAAACTTAATCATACTTCACCAACCGAACAAAGCTGTAAATGAAGGATCGCCGGTCATTTCACCCTCAGTCACTGTACTTCACCCAAATCCATCTCTTGTCCCGAATCTGGGGTATGCCAACGTGGTGGGGTCCATACATATCCCCCCCCCCCAAAAAAAAAAACACGGAAGACTTGTTGCCCATGCTTTAGGGCTGGCGTTCCGGAAGCGTGAGCCTGTGGACCCAAAGGCTCAAACCACAGAAATGGCTTTGAATGGCCATGAGGCAAACGCTTTTCTCAAGCACCCACCAGCAAAACGCAGTTGCAACCCTTGTGACAAGCGTGAGCTTCGTCGAATCCATGCGGGTGGCACCAGTTTCCGGGGATCCCATGAACACCACCATCCAAGCCGTCCTCGGTGGGCAAGCTGCCGATGCCCAGCTGGCCATGCTCCGAAGACCCCCAGACCTCAAGCCAAGGTCTAAGCCGAGGGAGGGGGGGGGGGCGTGGTACACCAAAATGTGCATAGCCAACCTTGATATTCAAAATGCTACGGCAGGAGATCCCAGCATATGGGCACATATGGCTATGGCAAAATGTGGCACTCGCCTCCACGAACTTCACTTTTTACCATGACAGATGTCATGTTGCCGACTTCTGGTGCAGGAATCCAACAACATGCCCCGTCCAAACATCACCAAAAGAGGCGAAGCACTGCAAAAAACCCACCAAAAGTTGTCGTTTGCACCATGTAAAAGGGACATTTACCCGTGTCCATTAAAATGACATCTTCAATGTGTTCAAAATGCAACCACTTTCAGGGACCCAGTGCAAGGACCCTTTCCAAAACCAACGTCTCTCGCGCGGCCGCGCGGCCACAGCGCCAGCCGTGGTCGAGGACTGCCCCATCGCCGCTCTCGCTCCATGGATATGGCGGGATCCCGGCAAGGTCTGTTTGGTGGCGGGCTGAAAACTTGGTTGAGCCCGAAGCCTAGGATTTGAATGATCTAAATAAGTTCGACCATCAGGTTGGCCAAGGGAAAAAATGGTGAGAACCGGACGAGAACCAGGCAAAAATGGTTGCTTTGCTGATGTCGCTCAGTGCAACTAAGGGTCATGCCCCGAACCATGGGGGACACCTAAAATCTGCAAGGGATAAGCGCAACTAAGGGGGCCCTGAAAGCAGCAACCAACAATAGCAGCTGAAGGTGCCGGCTGGAACGGGGTCGCGAATGAATTGCCATGGCCAATGGTCACAACTCACCGGGAGACTATCTCGACGTGATTCTCATGGAGTCAGTTGGCAACAATTCAATTTATGACACTTGTTCCAAATGTACCATGATCGCCATAGCCGTTCCATGCCTACTTGTTCAGTCTTCGGATATCTTCGGTTCTTCGGCTCCCTTTCGGACTGGAATCCTGGCCATTGCCCAGCTCTTGGGCCTTTGCGGGACGAGGTCGTCGCAGCGATGGCCATAGGTTCACGGATCGAATGCCGCGGTTCCCCATTTGAGACCCAGCCAAGCTGCCCAAGAGAAGGCTCGCACAGCCAGCCCGATCTGCATCACGGGTAGCTTTGGGACCCATTCCCCACCCTCTCCAGGGATGCTGACTGCCCCTCACACGTGCCCATTTCGGTTGGGAGAGAATGTGCTCCGGGCCCAAGGCTCGGGAAGGCAGTTCGAGGCAACCTTTCCAAGTCCTGAGGGAGTCCCGCCAGCTTACGAATCTGTTAGCATCTGTATGATCAAATAAACCACACAAGTTGCATAGCTCGGTGACGCACAAAGACGAGAGTTCTAAGGAATTAGACACGTACAACTTGACATGCAACAACATGATGAAATTATGAGTATGAATCAATATAACTGCATCTATGACTAGACTAACATTTATACATACATATATATATATATATATATATTTGCAAGCCCAGATGGTCACCCCAACTTGAACACTCAAGTCGGCTACAACCATGGTTAGTTGCTTGTCTACCAACCCTGTTGTTACAACGATACTGGTAATTGCTTTCTTATTTCTTAAATGTCTTGAGCAGCAAAAAAGGAGACCCCGCCCCGTCCCCGTCCCCCCCCCCCTTCGAGTTGCCTTCCGTTTGGCGTTCCACTGGCCCGCTGGCGAGGCTGGATCAACCTGGGCCAAGTGGAGTTGGTTACAACATGTCTTCTGACTATGAACCCCGTGTCCCCTTTTGCAATCAGTCAAGTCATTCAATCAACCAACCAACCAATCAATCAAGCAAGCAATCAATTAATCAATCAATCAAGCAATCAAGCAATCAAGCAAGCAATCAAGCAATCAATCAAGCAATCAATCAAGCAAGAAAGCAATCACTGGCACCATTTAACAGAACAAAGTCTAAGTAGACCTCCGCGGAGGGAAAACCAATGGCTGCAACCTGGATGTCTGCAACATGGAAAGTTTTTCAACATGTTGTTACAAGGCTTGGCCCAACCTCGCAGTGAAAGCGGCAGCGGGCCGATTTCAGAAGTGTGCCGGAGACACTCCGTGTCACAGTCCCATCCCGTGAGACATTTCAAATGAAAAAGGGGTTCTTGAGGGTACACTGAACCACTGGGGTGTCATGTGCCCTGAGATCTTTAGGCCCTGGTTTTGCCAACTTTTAGATCCGGATCCATTTGGTAGCCCTCTGCACCAAGCTGACATGGGCACCCTCCGAGCACGGAACTCACCAGGGGTCCCTGTTAAAGGAAGATAGTTTTCCAGTCCGAAGCGTCAGGTTCCATTGTGGACGGGAGCGTCCCACTGATTTAGCCCCCGCGCGGCAGCAAGCACCAGCCGCTTCCCAGCAAGGGCTGCCACCTTGGCGCGAAACGTCGGGGAACAAATGCCGGTCCAAGGAAACCAATGGGTTTGTCTCCAAGAAATGGTGTTTGTCCTCTGATGTTTCCCTGTAAACCTTTGCCCTCGCCGATGCAACCAGCCAAACGCGGGTTCACCAAAAAGAGGCACCTTCTCATGGTCCGCTCGCATCGAGGCTTCGCCTTTTGGAACTCGAGTCGGCCCCCAGAAATGCGCTGACAAATCCAAGGGCCCCCGTGGAATCCGCACGAGCTGGTTAGGGGTGGAAGAATATACCAATCAACCGGTCCATTCATCCTGGGTCCAGATCACCCTGCGAAATTTTGACCACCGCCTCTGTACAACGCTGAAACCAGCCTCTGCGCTGATCGCGCAGGGTGCGGGGCACAGAACTCTTTGCCGCGCCCGGAAGCCCATGGTTCCGCTTGCTGGGCTTCAAACTGAGCCTACCCCTTCGCGCATCCCATGAGTTGGTTCAGCTTTGGGATCGGCGCTGGCAATCTGAAGGTGTGGAGGCCCCAAGCAATTCGAAGGAAACCACAGGCGCTCCTCAGCATCCAAGCTTAAATCGAAGCGTTCAGAATCGATCGCGGCCGTAGCCACTAAGTGGCCACTACGGTCCGACCATGCCAGAAATTGAGTCAAATCACAAAATTGCAACCATTTTGCCCCATTGCTCATTTTTGGAAATCATTTGGGGCCCAAGAACTTCACACAATCGCTCTTTCCCTCAGAGGCGTGCATAGCCCGGCCCCCTCACATGGCGTCGTCCAAGTCCTCAGCACCCTCGCCCTGACGAAACAGAAAGCCAGCCCCCGCTCCAACACTGTGTTGCTCGCGCATGACTCTTGCCTCGTGTGACCAAATCAAGGGCCCCCGCACATACAAAGCCATTCAGGGATGAAACCGCCTTCATTTGTGTCCAACATGTGGGGATTGCGAAAGTATGGCTGGACCCAGATCTCCTAATTTTGACAAGAACCCAAGTGGTTCAATCCAATACCGTCCAATAATCCAATACCAGCATTCGTTCCATCCCCCCTTACGTTGACAAGCCAAGGCTGGGCCAAACTCTTGAAACGAGGCCAATTTGAGGGTTCCTTAAAGGATACGTCAAAACCACTCTCTTTGCAAGGGGGCCTCTATCTACATCAGCTGAGCGTTCAACTGGCCACAGCTGGCATCCTAAAAACCTCGCGCAAGTGCGCCATGAAGCTTCGCAGCGTGGGCTTTAAAACGAAGAGGTCACCAACAGGCTTCAGCCAGCCAAAAGAACCTTTACCTGAATGACTCATTGGGGAGATTCACAAAATGGGGCATCCCCTTTTTCGGATTCCAAAAGAAAGGCCACCCATTTTGCGGGACCTCCATATTGACCTCGAAACGCTGCTCCTTTAAACCAGATTTGCGCAAGCCGTGTGCAGTTTCGAGCCCTCTTTGATCATGTGCTTGGATCTCAAACCCCCGGTGAACATGAAACTTAAACCACCACAACATAGCAACTGTTGAAGGGGAAATCTTGAAATCCAGTGACCCCTGTTTAAAGAGGGTCTTTGCTTGGTTCCACGGCAGCGGTGGGAGGGTAAAAACTTCCTGGTGATTGGACACCTCCATTTTGCATCCGTTTCCTCGATGGTAAGCGGGCAAATGATCATCCATGTCCTACTCGTTTGCCCGTCCCTTAAGCACAGCCAGCCAAGTGAGATTGCTATTCGAGCTCAGTGGAAGTGAGAAATTGCCCAAGAAGGACCTGGAAATCAAAGGTTAACTCTTCGGGCCATGACTAATTATGAAACAAACTTGGAAAAGCAAAAGGTCAAAAGGTTGCCTTTGGGCAAGTGAGGTTTTGTCACGCAGTTAATGCCTCCCACCTGGCGACTCGCCGCCTCAGCCTGCCCCCCCCCCCGGCCCCCATCCAGGCACCTCGCCGCGGGACGCCCTGCCTGCAACATGCCACCAAATCGATTTCACTCCTGCTGGGCTTTCACCAGCGCAATTAGACATTGTCTGGATGTTTCTTCCCTTCTTGGGCTCCTGGAGCAGCCGATCTGTTACTAAGGTGCCGATTGAAAATGTGGCTAAACCCAGTGTCACATGGGGCCATGGTTTTTCTCCGTTTCTAGGTCATCTGTGCGCCGGTCCAAACTCTTTATGCGGCTCACGGCGACGTGGAAAACCCGCCATGCGATGCCCATTCTCTATGAAGGCGGCACTAAGCTCCAGCAACCAAGTGTTTTTCATCGTGGCGCACATGACTAGCACTCCTCCCCAGGCCAACATATGTTGATTATAGAGGCCCCAAGAATTGTGATGTGTTGTCTCGGCTTCCCTTGGACGCAACACCAAAATTCCCCCCCCCCCCCCCAAAAAAAAAAAGAACAAAACAAAAAGCGGCACCCTCCGAAAACCCGAGCCACACCCAAAAAAACCTACCCGCGCCTCCTCGCTGCCAGCGCCGGCCTTTGCCCCCGGCATTCCAGGTGCCCCTCTCCCTGTGCTCCAGCTCTATGCCCAGGCGCCGGCCTCCCATGGGCATTGACTTCGCTCGCTGGGGTCGGAATGAGCGGAAACGGTGGGACTGAGCCATCCAAACGGTGGCTCCGAGGCTCCTCAAGGTGGTCCCTTCTTGGTTCAGTCTCAAAGCTGACCCCTAAATTAAATTCTTGAAACCACCACTTGGATGGTTCCAACACATTCGCTGGGAGCCAGTGTGCACATTCCCCTACCCCCCTCCTCTGGGAAGGGATCGGAATAGGACAACCTGCCAGGATCAGCAAACCCACCGGGTCGAAGACACGCGCATGGAAGGATCAAAACCAGACATGCGGGATCAAACATCTCAGGCATCAGCACAACTTATTGTTGCAAACACTTGTTTGGCAACAACACACTACGTTACTTGCAGCCTCATAGCCTGCGCTGATTTCGGGGCAGCCGCAACACTGTGGAGCTGCACGTGTCGAATCTTTTGGCCAGTGCCGCGCTTTGTTGAAACCATTACGCCGGATGCCGCAAGGGCAACACTTTTGAGTATGGAGGGCCGATGGCGTAGCAAATACGGTATTTGAGAGCACGGAAAAGTATTGCAAGGGGTAGCCAGCAGACTAGGCAAGCCTAGCCCATCACAAGCCGCCCATCAATACACTCTGAAAACTCTAAAAGCATGGGGGGCAGCAGCAATCCAACTACACACGCCGCATTGCAAACGCAATCCCTCAAAATACTAACGTCAATCCAACTCGACTGCTGAACATGTTGACAACATCAGCCATGGGTCCCACCCCCGTGCATGAACACTTAGTAAGAGTATTTGTTGTAGCCAAGAACCGCAAAAAACTAAATACCCCAAAAAACACAAATACCCTACATGAAGCAGGTTGCAAAACACATCATACGTCCCCCCCCCCCCCCCCCCCCAACCCCCCGGCCCCGTCCCCCTCCGGCCCCCGCCCGCCATCCCCCCCGCCCCCGGCGCCTTGGGGCGTCCGCTGGCCTTTCAGCGCCTTGGCCAGCTCCTCGCAGAAGGTCACGCTCCTGAGTCAGACGTCTGACCCGGTCAAACAGAAGAGTTCCGGGCCTGGCCCGTGGTCGAAACACATCACAGACAAAATATATATATATACACATGTATATATATATATATGTATGTATGTACGTACGTACCTATGTATGTATGTACGTACGTACGTACGTACGAATGTATGTATGTATGTATCACATATATACATATAATTTATCCATGTATACTTATGCATATATATATATATATCAGGGGTTCATGAATCCTGGGTACCCAGTGCTCAGTGTGGGTTTGTCTCACAAAAGGAGATGGATCCCGGAAAATGGGTACATGTCCTGAAATTCCGGCAAGCCATAAAGGGGGCAATCCGAAAAAGTATATACATTGAACAAGCGTTCGAGTTCTTCATCAGGAATCGGAACCTGCACAGCAACTGGGGCAGTGAGAAACAGAATCATCATCACGACGGCCGCACCAGAATTCGGCAAAAGCCTAGGTACTAGCACTAAAATTGCGAATCCGGACCTGTTGCCTTCTTTGCTACACGTGTGGCGTATACACGCTCCCCCACAGGCACTCGAGCGAGCGGTCTCCTGTGCTGCCCGCAGGCACAACCCACAGCTACAGTGGTGTCTTTCTCGCCGTTGCATCTGGTCAAGGTGTCGTGCAGCATCTAGCGCTCGAAGGGCTGCAAGTAGGGACATGAACACGCTTTTCTGCTGGTTGGGCTCGCCTTTTGGAGGGTATCCTTTTTGCGGCGATAAAAGAAAGATAATCAAAGGGAAACCACCCACTTTAGAGGTCCCCTGTCTTGACACAAGCTCACATCCGTGCCCTTTCTGAAACGGGCAACGGCTCTTGAATGTTGACTGGGCCACATGCGGTGATCAAGCAGCTCCTGGCCGCAATCCACAAAACATGGCAACTCATGTGAGTGATACCTATAAGCCCTCCTGTCACTCATAACCATGGTTATAACCTAAGTAGGCTTACAAATGGAACGGACTTCCCCACATTTCCCCCCAAAGAGTTATCGCCACCAAAGCAAGCTCCTCGCACTCAAAGAATATTTCTACCCGGCCTTCAACAGGAAACTAGATTTGCTTAGACTGGGTGTGTCCAAGCCTAGACGGGGCTTATCCAAGGCTTGCCAAGAAAAGAAATCAACAAAACCGGGGTCGAAGGGCTTGTCCAGGAACGGGGGATCTTGCCGTACCAGTGGGCAAATCTCCAGGAAGCTAAATCGGTCTTAAATTGGGCTTACGTTAGTTTAAGAAAGCTTAGATGTCGTTTAAACATGCTTCAGTCCTCCTTAAAAACGCTTAGGCTAGATTCCCAACACCTTTCCAAGTTAACTTCCTGGAGAATTTCCTGGAGATGTTTTCTTTGACTCACCTTACATTTGCCAAACAAGTCATGCTTTAAATCCAAAAAATCAAAGGAGACCCCCCCGCAAAAGCCATCCCAACCCCCCCCCCCCCCACGGCCCCGCCTGCGCAAGCAGCTCCTTCGAGCCTGGGCAGCTCATGACCTCCTTCCGCAGGCGCGCGTCCAGGCCTACAAAAAGGTCCGCGCGAGTGACCCTGGGGCTACCTGGGGCCGCCTGGGTCTACCAGTCACCCCACAAAACCTGGGAGTGACATTCAAACATGTTTTCTGGAATGCCTCCCCTTGGGCATGCCTATTGCGCCCGACATAAGCCAATTGCGATAAACAGAGTGACCCCTTTGACATCCTGTGACGCTCCCGGGAGGTTCCTTTATTTCCGGAGAGTGCCAAGGTTTCAAATGCCCAGGGGGGCATAATATATATATATATATATACTTGGATGGCAGCAAGCATATGATCCTAACATTTGTTCCTCCAACAGGCAAACTTGGACGATCCCCTGTTTAAACATGATGCACCTATTGTTGAAACATCATCATGTATGTCCCTCTTTGCAATCCACCCTGGTAATACCAACCCGGTGTAATCTCTCTCCGGTGGATTTTTTGCCCACCTCTCAACTACCAACCTCTCCCCTCCAACATCTCCCCACCCCCAACATCCCCCCCCCTACAGGCCGAACCCCCAAAACCTCCCCAACGCGCTTCCGCCTGAGAGCTGGCGCTTGGGGCCCTTCATCGGGTTCGCAATGTGCCGGCAGTCCACCACCAGATCCGCCGCCGGCAGACCGCCCGGCCTAGCAGGCGGCTCTTTCGGCTCCGACCCAAAAACACACGCGAAGTTTGGGAAGACCAAAGTCGAGAAGAAAATAAACAACAAATCGGTGTGTGTTTGGGCTTGTTGTTACCTCTTAGAGGTCCGGGGCACCCTTTCATCCAGACTTGGACCTGCAAATGGTTAACTTGTCCTAGCTGAAAGGGAAGAAGGAAAACCGGGAGAGAAAGCAATGCAAGACCATTTTGGTGTTTGGGGGATCTGGAGGCTCCCCTTTCAGACAACCCAATTGAGAACAAATTCTGTTCTGAAGGAAACGCGCAAATGCGGAGACATCCCTTGAGTTGCCCAGTTGGCCTACTGGCGATTTCAGTTTTAACATAGTTGCATACTAATTGGTTGGGATGCCCATGATGGGGGGGGGGAACAGAAAGCATGCAGGTGGCGAGAAAAACTCGGGCCCCGGGAAGCGCCCAAAAAAAATACATTGGAGCAAACCCTTCGCCACGGGACACATGGAGCAGGGGGCCTTTTTTTGCATGGTCAAGTGGCAACCAAAAGGTGGCTATCAGAAATGGCAACAACAATCGCCGGCAAGTGCGGGGGGGCGTGAAAAACCAGCAGCCGGCAAGATAATGTGAACCTCGGATTAATCAACCCCTGGTTGATTAATAGAGGGGTGTCCCCTTTCAGTGGGGATTCATCACTTTTGGAGGGACCGCCCCCTAATAATGGGACGGGTTTATTCATCCTGGGTCAACTGCTGAGTGGATGGCCCCAAAAAAAGCCTAAACTTTACATTTACCACTAAAATGGTCTTCCCAAAAAGTTTAAAGTTCATGAACTCAGGAAGTCAGTTACAGGAAAACCACCGCTGAAGCTCTGGGAGGTATGCGCCGGACCTGGTGTACCCGAAGGAGACCAGCTTCACGTGGACCTTCCCGCGGGGCTCCTCGTCGCCTGGGCTCGGCTCGTCGCGCCAGTTGCGACGCTCGGTGTGCCTCGTTGACGTTGGAAGGGGAGCAAAAAAGAACTTAGCAGTTGAGTGGTTGGATGTCAACCACTGAATGTTTCCCAACAACAACCATGTTTGGGTGTCTGTTCTACACCCTCGCCTAGGATGGCTTGTGAGTGAGAGAGTCAAGATTTGGGTGTCAAGTTGAGCGGGGGCCAATGCCCCTGGCAAAATTCAAAGCTATTTGGGGGAGCTCCCTTTTTCATCCGACTTGGCCAGTGGCCACCGGCCAAAACCTGGTGTGACTGGCTGGTTTGTCTAGTGGCATCTTGAGCACACACGGGCATGGGTTTGTCTGAAACTCACCGGCCAGCCACTGATTGTTGTTCCGCAACGTCAGGACACGCCGTCTGGTGGTTTCCTGCTTTATTCGTGCTTCCCTTCAAAAGCACTCAAAAAACATGTTTTGACCAAAACCCAGGTCACATGCATTGTGTTTGTTTAAAAAAAAAACAAATGCAGCAGATGCATCCAAAAAGGTGATTCGGGATTCCAACTTGAGAACAAGCCGCTGTCAGCCTCCGCTTCCACCCCCACCTCTTCCGCATCGGTCGGAGCCGCCGCCGGAGCCGGCGCCTGGCGACGTGTGTGCATGCGACGCCTTGAGCGTGGTAGTGTTGGCCCCGGATAAATAAGCCCCAGTGTACTAACATGATTGGAGTTAGGCCCTGTTATAGAATGTATATTTTATTGGTTGCTTCACTTTGAGTCACTGGCAAAATGCAAAATGTATCCTAAGAGTTGATAATAATAATAATAATAATAGGGGGTGTTTTGGATTAGTGGGGAGTTATCACTTTTTTTGTGGTGTCGTTTTCATAGGGAAACTCACGGGAAACCGGGCAGCAACTTGGGGAATGGAGACGCCCTCGTTTCGTCGAACACTTCGGAATGTCGGGCGGGGCGGGCATGGGAAACAACGAACCCCGCCACCTCCGCCGTCTCCGCCGTCTCCGCCGTCTCCGCCGCCGGAGGCGCCGCTGCCGGAGCCGCTGCTGGAGCCTGGCGGCTTGGACTGTGCCATGGTCGAAGACATGGTTGCTTGGGCCTGTTATGAAACCATTCATAGCGAACTTGGAGAAGCATTGCCTGCTTGCCAACGCGAGCCATGACCAAGGGTGTTCAACCCCTATGATTCAACATTCCGATGGGGGAGGGTGTGTGTGGCTCAGGTCCTTCAACTGTACATAAATGCCATTCCAGGGGTTGAGATGTCGATTAACCCCCAGTCATTGCGGTCTGAACTACCCGGACCTCTCTGGGATGGCCAGCCTCCGAACATGATGGAAAATGCAACTAGAAATGCCAGTAGGGGTCAAATCAATCGGACAAGTCCCCCGTGTGAAAAAGCAACGCGCCGTCTATCTTTCTGAGAGTTTTACCAGGAGAAGTCAAACCCTTCGGTGCGCGGTTGTCGCACCGCAAAGTAGGAATTGCCGCCGTGACTCGCGAAAAGGTCTCGCAACAAGTGGGCTTAACACATGATGTCCCATGACCAAACCATGAATTCGGGGTTTATGACACAAAGAACAAGGCGGACACACGACACCAGCCCCGAGGTGAAAAATGTGTGTTGGTAGTTTGTGGCAAAAAGGATACCCCATTCAAAAGGAAACCAAGGGCACCACCGGAGGTCTGGGGATGTCTGGGGTATCCAAACTTTACAGCAACCCCATAGCCAGAACCAAGGGATCCCCAAGTAGGACCTTCACCATTATAAGGGCTTCCTCTCGCGCATTTTGTAAGCCGGGGGCGGTGCCTCGAAAACCGGGAACAAGCAAAACGCCAACCAAAGACCTGGAGCGCAAAAACAAACGCGATATTGCTCAAGCCATGGGTTGTCCAACAGTTGACTGCCCTCAGAAAGGTGAAAGGTCCCATTTGCCTTCTTATAGAACCAGGGGTTCAAATCCCCAAACCACCAGTCCAAACCACCAACAAAGGGGGGTTCCTGATTTTGGCTTACAGGTCCAAAAAGCAGCTTGGGATTCGAACAAGCAGGGCCCCCCCCTCCAAAAGACGCACGAAGCCGTGGCGCTTTTGCCAGGGGCTGCAGGACCTTGGCGAACTGCTCCTGCCTGCGGAAAAGGGCTGGCTGGGGGCGTGGGTATGGACTGGGTCAATTTTCGTAAGACAGGTTGTTTTGGCAGCATCGAGAGGCCGGTTTGAGAATGCCGACTGCATCCGATTGCTCATCTCAGGCTGAACTTGTGAGATCTCATTTGCAGAAGGAAATCAAACCAGCGGCTAAAGAGGGGCTTAGCGCCCGTCAGCCCTTTGAACAATGGTTGAAAGAAAAAACAGCCCCAAAAATATTCTGGAGAACGCTCAACATGTTTGGTGGAACTAGGTGGGTCGCTCTAAAGCTCCAAAATCAAAGGCTTTGTGCAACTCCACGATTAACTTGGATTCGAGATGGACTCATCGCCAAAACAGGCCGGCGTGGGTGTTTCTTGCCCGGAAAGGGGGGCTGCAGCTTAACAAATGTGAAGGGCGCCAAGCCCCTCTTTAGCTGCTTATTTGATTCCTTATGCAAACGAGATCAAACAAGTCCAACCTGAAATGAGCAATCGGATGCAGTCGGCATTCTCAAAACGGCGGCCTCTCGATGCTGCCAAAACAACCAACCTTTTGGTTTACTCTGATTTCGAGACAAGCCCCCATGTGTGCCGTGGTCAAACCTTGCCATGCTCTTTATGCGCACAGAAGAAGACGTATTTTTTCTGGTTCCTGTCTGAAACTCGGTTTGCGCGCCCGCCACGTCCCTTCCAACCAGGCCATATGTTGACCAAATCTTAAGCCGGGGGCCGAGGCTGGGAGCGTGGTTCAGTTTCCTGCTTGGTGGTTTGGAGCCCGGTGGCTTGGGTCCAGGTCCCCCCCAAAAACCCAAGGGCCCCACATCTGAGCGTCGGGGATGGCGAAGGTCACCCGCCCGAAGACCCCTGCAAACTCTGGGAGCGCCAGCGCGGAGCGAAAGATCTGGGCCACCGCCTCTGGGAAAAAAATGGCACCGAGGCCCACACAATGGGGAGGGGGAGGGTTGGACCGGGAATCAGGCCCTGGACACATACCAGGCAGGTAACCCAATGGGTAGTTTGGATTGGTCTTCCCAAGGCACAAACATCTGGAACTCAGGAACTGGGTTCTCTGGTGATCAACTTACGGTTCAACTGGGGCCCAAAATTGTCTTTCTGGCTTCCTTTCGGGAAAACTGTCTTTATGAGCAAGCCAATCAGCAAGTCATCTATCGAGTTCGTGATCTGGCCAAGCTAACTGGGTCGAACTGGTATGTTTGAGCTGGTAAGTGGTTTGCTTGCTGGCTAGCTAGCTCGTCAAGCAGCTAGCCTAATAGGTCGTTTGCCAAATAGTTAGTTAGTTCGCTGGTTGGATGGTTGGCTTACTAGCTCGTCAGTCTGCTCTTGAATTTGTCAAGTAGTTAGTCAGTTAGCTGATTAAGTCACTTCTCTGCGCTGAATTCGACCAGACCACCCTCAAAGAAACACAACTCAAAGGCTAGAAGTGAGGAAACAGCCATCCATTCCAGCCTTTGCTCCCCCCTCCCCCCACATCAGAAGCCATCCGTGCCCAGGCCAAAACCCTGCAAAAACGAGATGCCCAACTTTCGATGGAAAGATGCCCAGCCGCCCCCCATGAGCATCAGACCCGAGCCTCTTGTAAACACGTCTGATGGTGTCTTGACCCAGGACTGGGCAAAAAACGCCAAAAAGAAGAGACAGAGGTTCAGCTTCCGCTTCTTTTCTTGCCTACCCTGCATGAAGTGTGGTGCATCTCCGGCCCAGGGATCCGAGTTCGGCGCCGCTGGGTCGTTTCGGAAGACCCCGCAGCCCCAGGCGCCCAAGACCAGGCTTTGGCAGCTCTGGCTCCGCAGCAGCCGCAGCACCCGCCGCAGCCGGCCCTTGCCAACAAAACAGACCGTCTAGGTGGGGAGGGGTTGGGGAGGGGGCATTGGATCCTATGAAGCGAAGCACGTCTGGCAACGTTTCTGAACCAGTTGAATTGTTGACTTGCTGATTGCAACTAGTTTCTGCACCCTCGGTAAAAAGCTAATTTGTTGACTGCTGACGGGGAAATAACAGAAGACCAAAGCGGCATTAAACAAGTAAGCTCAGTCTGGCAACGCTTTGATGATGGACATGGGCAGAAAAATGGAGCAGCGGTGTTCCTGTTCTCATTAAGCCTTGGCTTGTCGAAACTTGACTGATGGCCTCCACAGGCCACTTTGTGCGCAAGCCTCTGCCACGACACCGGGGGATCCGTAGTACAACTTGCCGCTTTCTTAACAGGTCGCACCCAAAAATCCCAACAGACCTCCATATACTTGATTTGCGCTGCTGGTCGGGAAATCTTGCCAACTGCCCGCCCCCTCCCCCATCTACCCGCCATGAGCTGCTTTCTCCAGCGTGTTTTGCGCCGCCGCGGAATCCGTTGAAATTTAAATCGATTCCTGCTCTCTCGCGACACCACACGGTGCAGACTGCGTCGCCAAGGGAAACATCCCTTGACGAAAAAAACAGGTCACCTGCAGCTAGTCCTACACAGGGCAGTGCTTTGCCACCTTCTTGACACAGGCTGGGCATTCCAAAAGGGACCCTACATTTTTCCAGTCTTGCAGGGGTCAACCTAGTTTCCCAAAACGATTCTTGACTTTCCCCCCTCTTGGACCTGCAAAAGTGTCAGCTGCAGTGAAGCCAACGAAATCGTTCGACTTTTGCAGGGAATCCACTGGTTCAACCTCCCAGACCTCCAGTGGATTTCCATCAGCAAGGCAGGCACTTGTGTGTTGTTTTGTCCTCGGGGGGGCGGGGGGGGGGCAATGATTTGAGGGGGGACCCCCTCCCAACAACACTGCTGAAAAAGGGGGGGAATGCCCCGGGCTCAACCTGGCTCAGAAGCTTTCGGTCGGTGGGCTCCCCTCAGAATTTGCTCAGTCCTTCGGCTCCGTGACACCCTGGCCGTTCGGCGAAATTACCCGAGCCGCCCCCCCCCCCCCTCCTCCCCAAAAGCATACCCCAGAACTGGGAATAGATCTCACACAGATCCCCTTCATGGAGCTGGTCTCAATCGCCCGGCGCGTGCCGCCTTTCAACAGGGGTAGCACAAAAGGGGCTCACTCTTACACGCCCAGTCCAAAGCCCAGCTCCTTCTCCGGGAAACGTGAACCGCCCTCAGTTAAAAAGTCAAAGCAACTTTTCCACAAGCGTCTTCCGACTCAATCCCATGCTCAGCCCACCTCAGTAGTACATCGTTCTGGCGACCCGCGAAGTACTGGGTGTCTCTTTTTAATTTCTGGGTGGTTTGCCTTTTATCTTATTTTACTTTATGTTATTTTATTTCTTATTGTTGACTTTTCCTTTTTTTTTCATCTTTTTTTTTGGGGAGGGGGGGAAAGGGGGAAACCAGACAGCTGTTTGCCATTTTAGAGGGGTCCACAAACTCTTTACAGAAAAACACACCATTTCAGAAGCCCTGCCTGACCGGGCATGTTTCTCACCCAGCCAAAGGATGTCGGCAGACTGGCTACGAGCTCCTCCACAGACCTCACTCCATCGAACGCGACCCTCAGCCGCTTGGCTTTGGGGGGCAAGCCAAAACAAGCTGAGGACAATTTTGAGGCTCACATTTGAGTCGAAACCCATTGTCAAATCGCGCCCCTCAGGGCAAACCAAAAAAGCTTCAACAATTTTGAGGGTCACATTTGAGTCAAATCCCATTTTGAGGGTCCCATTTGCGTCAAATCCAACTGACGGAAAAAGGCGAAAGGATCCCTTAAGGGGAAAAGTGCAAAGGGGCAAAACCTGCCCAGGGGCCTGGAAACCAAACAAAGGCGCACCTGTTCGGGCCTTGACGAAAAACATGCCCCGAAAAAGACAACACCGAAGTGCAAGCAGAATATTAACTTCCAAACATCCACCCCAAACCCTGAGGCAGCGGTGCTTTTTTGAAAGGAGAGGAGGTGGTTGAAACAAGTTGGCAAACACCGGTCAAACAGGTTAGTTGAGCCTGGCAATGAAATCGGTCCGAGTGATTTCCCTTCAAGGATGTGGAGAGGTTCAAAGTATGTACCCAAACAGAAACAAAAGGAAAAAGTAAATTGGATCAATTAGGATCGGTGGTTTGGGGAATGGAACCCCTGATTCTTCTTGAAACCGAATGGAAGGCTACCATAGCCTCCCAAAACGCAAAACAAAAACACAAAAAAGCATTGTGCTTCCACCCCCCCACCCCCCCTCCCAAACACACCGCTCCCAGCTCTGGCCGACTGTATTTCAGGTTTTCCCAGCCAGGTGCTGAGTTGGGAGGGGTGTTTGCGGGAGTGAAAAATGGCTTAAGTCATGTGACAAGCCTTCCAGCGCCGCCACCTCTGCCAGCACGACGTCCACGTCCCCCGCAGTGCCTGCTTAAAAATTCAAATCCCACGGAAGGGCGCCGCCAGGCGACTGTTGAAACCATCTGCTTTGCGTTTCCCTTGAAAAGACGCCACGGGTCAAAATCCAAATCGTAGCCAAAGTGAACATCCCAATCCAACCACTAAAATTGGTTCTAAAATGGGTGGTGCACCTACCCCAAAATTATACCATTGGTTTTGACCCACAGCCAAATGGGGCCAACACATTTGGTTTAAGCATGTCTTGCCAACGGGAGATTCTGGGTGCCACTAAGAATCGGTGGTTTGTGGCGTGCGCCTTTCTCATGCGGCTTCAAAAGTAGCTGGGGTTCAAAACCCCCCAAATCACCAGCCCAGCTTCTTTTTCTCACCACAGTTTGCTCATTTTACGAACTTTCAGGTGCAGGTGATGACACTCCCCCCCCACTGCCTTCCAACATTTAACATAGCACATGCTTCAGTTGTGAACCCATGAGCCACTGGTCCTGAGTTGATGAGGAACTTCCAGCTAACATCATGTTTACCAGTTCCATACAATCAGGTAGGGGACCACAAAAAATGGGTTGTGGCTTTATGCCAGACAGAAAGAGGTCCACCAGTTTGACAGGCCTCCACACAGAAGCGTCCAACTTGAATTATTCATTGGGGTCACATTTGGGTTTATCGTCTATAGGGAACCCCCTCCCCCAAACCAGCGGTTTTTCCCGTGGTCGCCATACCAAGGCCACCCGTGTCTATGGGCTCCACACGACCCGCCCATTCGAACAGCCGCCTTCCCTGATGGCCATGGGCTTGTTGAAGCGCCCAGCCCGCGCGCGGGCGTCTTCGGCGCTGCAAACCACCTACCGTTTCGGGGCTTTTTCGGGGGACCCGGTGCCTGGAGCCCACAACATGGGTGGGTCCTCCTGTTGCTTTAAAAACCCACCCCGGAACCTTAGGAAAAAAACAAAGAAGAACTGTTGCTTGTTTGTATTTCTTCTTTTTTGGAGGGAGGGTCCCCTTTTTCGTGGGAGTCCTAACCCCCTGTTAGGATGGTTTACCATCGTCTCAAAGAAACCAACTGTTGTAGGGGTCCATTTCAACACACAGCCACAGGCACACACAGACACTCAAAAACACACAGAGAGAGAGAGAGAGAGAGAGAGAGAGAGAGAGACACACCCGCATGCGTTGGAACGGCCGTTTTTTGAGTATAAACAAATGGATCGGCTAACAAATACAAAATCGAGAAGATGGCCTGACATCAGAAAGTGAACCAGCCACATCCCAAATCCCGGCGCATTTCAGGGTGTTGGTCCCCAACTTGCGATTTTTGGAGCACAGAACAACGAATGTATTGCTTGAAGTGTGGAGCGTCCCTTAACACTTGTCAAAAGGGTCCAAAAGCCCTTCATGCGCCAAATCTATGCCAAAAACCTTGCCCGGCCCAGGAAATGGTGTTCTTAGAGCCTACAAAAACCACTAAGGGGATTTCTAAATCTTGGTTGAGTGTCGCTTTTTCCACAACAAACTGCTGAAAGCAAAAAACCTTCACTTGAGTCTCGCGTGCGAGCTCGTCCGATCCTCCGCTCCGATTTTCCCGCCTTGTCCTGGTACTTCACGGAATAGGTCGTCTTCGCAAAGTCACGACCCTGGTCCTCGTCGTGGCGGAGTTCCAGGGAGCCAATCCTAACACGCGGGAGGACGGCAATGATTTAGCCAGAAATAGCTGGGGAAATCCGCCCCTTTTTAGATAGCTCGTTATTGTGCCAGGTTTTGAGTACTCAAAACTGACTTGGGTGCATGTTGGTTCTGAGGAACCACTCGGAAAAAAGGGCAAATTTTGACATATCTCTCTCTCTCTCTCTCTCGCGTGCCATCGGAATCCATCCCACTGGGAATTTTGACACATGCCCACCTGATTTTTTGCCGGTGAAAAGGGGAAGTAAAGGAAGTAAAGTAAATGTTTGCCAAAAAAAATGTCAAGTTTGGCCACGGAGCTTTAGCACATGCCTGGTGTCGTCGTCCTCCAAATCCTGGCCCGTTCCAGGCATGCTTCGTTGGGCCAAACGTGAGCTTCTCACAATGGCAGACTGGTATCTCCAGGGAATACCAAAGAAACACACGCGCTCACACACACACATAACCCACTCCACATTGTGGGCCATCCAAGCGCCCCCAAAACACCGCGATGTTTTTCGCTAAAAAGTCTGTCCAGACACTCAGGGCGTGAGGTAGGGGCTCCTCCGAATTGCCAGGGGCCTTCCAATTTTCGCTTCCGACTTCCCGTCCGTGGAGCGGGTCCAGCGGTACGACGTCTCCTGCCCGGCCGCCGTCACTGCCTGGTGGTCCACTACTAATAAAATCCATAGGCATCTTTGGTAGGGCACGGTGGTTCCCTGCACGCTCAGAGTCTGGGTGATGCTGATCCGTACTCAATACAACAAAATTGGACCTGGGGTCTCCTCCAAACCATACTTTTTACATTTTAGAGTACGTCCTAGTGTCAGAAAAGGCCCTACCCAGACGTCATTTGGCAGTAAGGATCTATTTTGCCCAACCCACCGTCAAGGGCACCACCAAACATGATCGCCCACAAGCGGCCGGCCTTCCAGTTCTGTCTTGATCGCCTCAAACAGGTGGTTCTTTCTTGGTTTCCCTTGCCCCACATGAAAACATGGCATTGCGAACCACTGCATCCCTCGGCACCGCCCCACAAAGTGCGGCTAAGTTGATCCCATCAAACCCCCAGCGGCCTTGTGCTCCCAGGAGGTGGAGCCACTGGGAATGTCTGGGAAGCACGCCCGCAGCTGTTCCATGGCGACAAACCTCCGGCTTGAGCCACTCGCGACGCAGGAGTCGCCGGAGGTTTGCAAGGAGGCCAAGGAGAGCCACAGAGGTCAAGGCCTTCTACCCTCCCACCAATTGGAACCCGACAAGAAGTCCGTGTAAAGGGAAATGGCCCAAACCAGGACGCTGAACGTCACATTCCATGTTCGTTGGTGGGAGGGTAAGCAGCTTTCGGCACCGCAGCTGGTGTTGATCGTCAATCTGCAACGCGCAGACGCATAGGAGAGACACGGTTCCTTTGAACAACACCGGCTCAGCTCAGAGGGCTGATGCTACATGTGAGACCCGATCGAGAAGCAAAGAGATGCATGCAGAGATCTCAAAGTCTCTGTTGCCAGAGGGGCATGCTGACATGCTATCAGCTGCTGCTTTCTTTTCTCTGCAAAGACTTTAATGGACCCATTTGAAGCCCAATATTCAAGGGTAGACTCAAGGAAAACCCCAGCCGACCTTGAACACCCCCAACAGTCAAAATCACCTACTATGTGTTTACAGGACTCCTGGTAGCTCTTTACCCCTCAAAAAGCAAGCAAATTTGGATAACCCAGCTCCTTGTCTCCCAATATGGGTCATGATTTTGCCGTGCCTTGTTTCCTTGTTTGCTTCCTCATGGCTTGACTGTCTGTGGTCATTTGGGAGATGGTGGGTGGTTTGGCCGGGCGCACTGCCCTTGGCACCCTTTGAAGGCAGGCGAGGGGGTGGTCGCCTTCTAAAGAAATGATGCCCCACTAAACTCAGGGACACCCCCCTATTAGTGAACTGGGGTTGACGAACCCACAAAACCCGCAAAACCCAGATTGGCTCCAGATGGTTTGGGGTTGATGAACCCAAACAACCACAAAACTTAGATTGGCTCCAGAATGCTCCAGATGGTTTTGTGGTGCTGGCACCCACAAAATAGCAAATTAGCAACCCCACCAAACCACGACTCGCCCCACCGGCCCCCGGGAGCCACCCCGAGAGCCGACCCACAAGTCCGCCTGCATGGCGGCCTGCGCGGCTCCGTGGGGCGCCTGCGAGGCGTTGGGCGCCGCGGAGGTGCAGACCGAGCAGAGCAGCGGCTGCTCCGCCAGGACCCCCTCGTCGTCCCGGAAGAAGGGCCTTGGATGTTTGTTTTCTTTTGTGTTGCTTCTTTGTGTGTTTTTGGCTTTGTTCTTTTTTCCGTCTTTTTTCCCCGGAGTGTTTTTTCGGCTTTTTCCCTGTGTTGTTGTTTTCTTTTTTCCCTGTGTTTGCTTTTCCGGTTTTTCGGTTGTTTTCCCCCTGGTGGACCAGCGGCGATGTCAGCGGAAAGTCTGCAAGAAAGTCGGAACATGACATAAGAGTTGGAGGGCTCACCATAAAAGTGGCAGATCCTCCTGTGATCGAACATCCCCAACCCTACTCAATAGAAACTCCCTCAAATGAATAAGGGCTGACTCTCTTTACAAGCGCTACAAGGAATAGCTCTTACACAAAAGTGGAAAACTTACCAGGTGAATACCAGGGGTGGCACGGCGTTGCGCCCCTAAAGTTGAAATGTCTCACAAGGAACCTCCAGAAAGTTGAGGATATCACTGGACAAGAACCCGGTTTTTATCCTGGAGATTATCCTCAAGGCAACCAGCATCTTGTTGCTTGTTTGACACACCTCGTCAGGTTTGCAGGCACAGGGAACCTGATCCTGATAGCTATGGCAAACACTTAACACCTCTTCCGTGTCGAGTCCCTGCCATGCCCGTCGTCATGTTGCAAGCTCTAACGGCCTCCCGCTGGGCCTTTCCCTTGCCCTCCCATCCTTCCTCCAAGACTCACTAGAGGTGAGAAGATCATGTCATCCGAGTACAGGCACCCTCTGGGATCTTTGCGGTTCCTAGCATACCTGCGGACAGACTGCGTGGTCACGTGAAGCCCGGATCTCCTGGGGATGTCAATGCCGCAAAAGGAGTTTATTACACCCGCAAAAAAGGACAAAGGGGTGGGGGAAGGAACGAGACATTCCGCAGGCCCTCAAATAGACACGCTGTCAAAAGAAGCTTGGCCAAGAGGCGATGATTGAACCCCCCCCCTCCCCCCCAAAAAAAGGACACCTCGCTCTGTGCGGCCCAAGAGACTGCTGGAAGCCTGCCATGCCAAATTGGGGAGGACTTCGCTCAAACGTCCAAAGCCAGCCTGCCCTTCATATGGGCATGTGTTTTCTATTTTTTCGGGGACCCTTTGGTGGCGGACATGCTTTCATTGAGTTTCCACGGGGGCAAATGCCTTCCTAACTTTCCTAAGAATCTTGTCCTTGAGGCGGGGCCAAAATCCAAGGCCAACCTAGGCGATCTCGCGGTACACATCACTTGACGCCAGGCTGCAGCGAGTCCTGGACAAGGTTGGGCAATGGAACAAATCACTTCCGTAGAATGGCCCAAACAAGTCCTGTCAAGGTCTCCCGAAGTCCTGCAGGGTTCCTAGGAACGGATGCCATGGCAACCTTTGCCGGGAGCTTCAAATGAGGAGCTGGACATAAACGGGCCCGGGCGGCACTGAATGAAAGAAAGGTGGCACCTACTCATGTCCGACCTGACCCTTGGAGACCGTGAAACACGAAACCCGGACAGGCGCATGGCCACGACTGCGAAACAACCGAGCGCAGCCACAGCGCCCTCCAACCGCCACATGTGCGGCTTCCAAAGACTGAGGACACCTTTTCGGATGGACGGGGTTCTGGCTTCAATTCAATCAGCAAAAACCAAACTTAAACGACCCCTCAAAAGGCACCACTTATCCACATCCCATGGATCTGAGTGAGGGTGTTCACAAAAGATGAGAGAGATGCATGGCATGAAGGGGAAGGAATGTCCATGATAACCCTCACACAAGGCTTTTTAAACCAGCCCCAAATGCAAAAACAAACAACATTTTAACAAATCCCAAAGACCTGAAAACTTGACCAAACTCAGGACCCCGGCACAAAGATAAAGTTTTGCTCGTTGAAAGGAAAATGAAGGAACACGCAAGAGCCAAAGGACAAAAGGCATTATTAGGTCTGGCAATGGACAGGGGCCACATCCACCCCCTCCAAAAACAAAAAGCACAAACTTTAAACCAAACCCAAGAAAGACCACCCAAAAAAAAGCAGCCGCCCCTGCCAGCCCCTTTTGAAATGGCAGCACCTTGGGCGATCCAAAAAGGAACCGGCCATATGTCAAAAAGGGGGGTGGGCAAAAATATGGTGTGTGGTTTGTCATGTTGGTTTCTCGAAAAGACAAGGCCCGGGAAGGGCGTGCTCCAACAACGCACGCCCATTTTTGACACCGCTCTGCATCTTCCAATTGTGTGTGTTATCTTTAGGGTGCCCCTTTCCACCTTGGATTGAATGGACACTAAAAGCAAACCCACGCATTTGCTGGGGTGAGAATCCTCCCTAGTTTGACACGTTGAGCATTTGATCTCCTTCAGCCAACCCCCAAACCAGCCCCTTCAACCAACCCGCAAAAAAATGGACAACAAATCATGCCCTCCAAAAAGCACGCACATATGTTTGCCAACCATTGACCCCACAAAAAAGAAAAAACATACACAATCACCCCCCGCCCAACCCAAACCTCTCCCCTGCCACGTCATGAACTCCTTGAACTGCTCCAGGCAGGGGAAGAGCCCGGAGGACCTCGCCAGGGACTCCTCCTGCGCCTGCGCGCCACCCAGGAACCCGCCGCCTGCAACAGCTGCAGATTCGCCGTCGCGCGAAGGGGCGGCTCGTTACGGCCGGAGTGGCCCAGAGCGGTTTGAGGTGAACCGCAAATACATGTATATATATATATGTATATATATGATTATGTATATGTATATATATATGTATATAAGTGCCTGGTTGGTTTAGTTGACTTGTTCATTGTGACGCAAAGTGTCTTCAGACAAAATATGGGTGAATCAGTTGAGGGGAACATACCAAGCACGGGTTTTTGATGCGGGTCAACGTTGACAAGCGAGCCACGTTGAAGGAAGGAAGGAAGGAAGGAAGGAAGGAAGGAAGGAAGGAAGGAAGGAAGGCAGGTCAGGGCAGGGCAGGGAAGGGAAGGGAGGGGTAGGGGAAGGGGAAGTGGCCCAAAGGCACGAACTTTTGAACACCCCTCAAACGAGTTCCAGGATGCATGATTGCCCAAGAAGAAGCATTGAGGTGGAGTGTATCAACCTTTGCTGTGTCTTTGGGGCTAGGGACACCTTCGCTTGAGATTTGTGTGGTTCCCCCAAAGGTGACCAGCCAGAACAGACCCCACAAGCTTCCTTCCGGATCTGGTCCCTTGAAGTGGTTCTCTGAGTCACTTTTGATGACGATTTGCCTTTATATAAACCCACCATTTTCTGTAGAGGGTCATATTCAGGACGTCGCTTTTATGGAAGCAATGTCCGCAGAGGGAGAAGACCGTCAAATGATCTGTCGCACTTCTTTTTACCCACCACCAGCCACGCCCTTTTGACAGCTCGGCTTATGATTTCGTCGTTGCAACCCGCTTACTTTCCTGACGTGGCTGACCATCCAAGCAACCCTTCCCCCCCCCCCCGGCACCCACAAACAAAAAACACAAACAAACAAACAAACAAACAAACAAACAAGCAAACCAGCAAACAAGCAAAAAAGCAAACAAGCAAACATGCAAACAAACAAGCAAACAAACACAAACACACACACACACACACACACACACACACACACAAACGCGCAAACGCGCATATTCTTCACACACACACAACCCAACGCAACTCATCACAACACAGCACAACTCAACTCACAGCACACAGCACACAGCACACAGCACACAGCACACAGCACACAACTCAACACAACACAACACAACACAACACAACTAAATCACAGCACACAACACACAGCACACAGCACACAACACACAGCACACAGCACACAGCACATAACTCAACACAACACAACACAACAAAATCACAGCACACAACACACAGCACACAACGCACACAGCACACAGCACACAGCACACAGCACACAGCACACAGCACACAACTCAACACAACACAACACAACAAACTCACAGCACACAACACACAGCACACAACACAGTCACAACACACAGCACACAGCACACAGCACACAGCACACAACTCAACACAACACAACAAAACACAACACAACACAACACAACAAAAACAGCAGGATGCCCTGTGCCTGGGTTCTTGGCGCTGGCGAAATTCAGCACCGCCAAGTTGCTGGCATCCTGTCGAACATGTCTCCGTCTCCGATCTGAGGGAGGGGAAGGGACTTTTTGACCTTGGGGACCCGCTCTGGCTGGGCCCAAAGGCGACGTGCAAACCACGCAAACACACACAGAGAGAGGCCAGCAAGCAATGAGGAACCCCCAAAAAAAAGAACATGAATCTTTGAGAGTTCTTGAGCAAGCAGCAGGAATGCGTAACAAAAGTAAATGGCACATGCCCTACTGATTATGTTTGACAGCGATGGGTCCGCCTGGCGAACTGTGTCTAGAACCAGCAGAAAGACACCACGGAATCGCCAGCTTTGGCAGTTTGCGCTACAGGGGCCATGGAATCATCCAAAAAGACAAGTTTGTTGGAAAGGAAACATATCCACATCAGCCAGCCATTTGAGACGTGCTCAATTGCCACCACACTTACCAGTCCATTGAGGCAAAGGCCCATTTATCCAATCTTCTCCGCAAAGGGAAGCCTCGAACACGCAACAAAAACTCCGGCGGAAACCCCCCAAAACCGCCGAATTCCATTGCGCCCACGAGCGGGCCGCGCTTCGCCCCATCCACCCATCCCCACGCAAACCGAGCCGCGCTCCTCGGAAGACAACCTGTACAAAGCCTCCCGCGCGCTTTCCGCTTGCCGAGATGGGGGGCGGTCGAAGCAGTGGCGAGCTGAACTTTCTAACACCGGAAATAAGTTGGACACCCCCAGCTGGGAATGGGCCAAAATCCAAGCCACCAAACAAACCGCATCCAGGTTTTCATTTGTCAGGGGGACATTTTGGGCTATGTTGGACCCACACCCAGTCTTCATGGGCTTGATTGAGCTCACAAATTTGGCACCTTCGATTGGAGAGCTGATTTGGGTGGAGTTTTTCCCATTTTAAAGGCCAAAACAAGGCCTCCATGTTCATGTGGGTGCCTTTTTGGAGAAGAACCCGTTTGAGGCTGTTTGAAGGGGAAACCAACTGCATTGCTCGAGATCCCCATTTCAAGACGCTGGTCAAAGCTCTATGTGGGTGGGAAAATGGTTCCCTCAATGGGAACCCAGCGCTCTAAAACCCTACCTAGAGCTTGATGAACATCCCGACCAGCCCCAAACAAAGCTCACATCCTAGCTTCCATGTTCCAGGCCAAAAACGACATGAAAGTGATAGCTTGGGATGAGTAGGCCGCACATGCTCGGGCCAAGCCTAAGCGACCCAAGGCCCATTTTGAGAAACACCCGTTTGGGTTCTCAAAACAGGTGACCTTCGATGGTTGTCAACGAAGGAAGTACACCCAAAATGGCGGCTGTGCTTTTGGTTTCCCTAAAAACCCCAACCCGAAAAGCTGAAAGGGACGCCCTCACCGCGCACGAGGTTAAACAAGGGCGTGCCAGGATTCTGTAATCCTCTTGCGGCGAGGCATGTCTTGGGGTGGATGCCCGTGCCATTTTGCAAGTAAACTAGCCATACTCAACCACAATGACATGTTGTTGGCTGTCCTCAGATCCGCAAGAAGTTTGATTTAGGGGGAATACATCGAGCCCCAAACCACTTTACACCAACTCAGAAAAGTAAAACAAAGACCTCAGGAGCCGGATGGGAACCACATGGCAAGATGAGAGGTTTTCCCTTTTTTCCTACCAAAAAAAAAAGAAGCAGAGGACTTCGTCCGCCGGTCACCTCCAGGGACGTCTCGCCGGTCACCTCCATGGCCATCCGAGCCAAAGCCTCGCCGGACCTCGGAGGAAAAACAATTCCGGGGGATCCCCGTGGTGGGTTTTTTCCTTTTTTCTGTCAAGCCCGGGACCTTGGTCTGAAAGGAGAAGGTTCCTGGAAGGGCTTCGAAATATTTGTCCCGAGCTTCGAAAGTCTTGCTGGCGCCGATAGGCGGGGAATGAGTTGGAATGAGCCCGAACTAAAGCATCCCCTGGGAATCCCGTTCAGTTCCTTCCCAACACCCACCAAGAAAAACAAGCACCATCGCAACTGTTGATCCGGATTGGAGGTCCTCCAGAAGTGAAAGATCAAACCAACACACCCCTATGAATCAACCAGGGGTCCTTGCTCCCTTTCTTGTTCGAAGGCGACCGCGCACAAGCTGTCCTCCCAAAAGAAAGCCAATACAAGAGATATCACTCACCCAAACCGGCCCTGTCGAGTGATTGGAACCGTGGAAGTAGCAGATTGAACCAGCAGCGGTAGACCCTCGCTCCAAATCGACACAGCCCGCCGAGTGTGGTGGGTTGCTTTGCAGAAACTTCGCATGGACCTACCGGCACCCTCAAACTACCCATAAAAATAGGCTGTTGGCCCAAAATCATGGGGGTATGTTCCTATTTTTATGGGTAGTTTGAGGGTGCAGGTGGTAGCATTAAATAAGTATGCAAGGAGGGTGGGCCCCGCTTCCACTTCGGAAGCCAAACTTTTGACCGCCCAAAAGGGGTCGCAACTCCCACCAGAAACAATTTGCACCATTGAAAGGGCAACTCTTAAAATGGCCATATAGAACTGCAAGGTGTCTTCCCAATTTTGTGTTGGGGGAGGAGGGGGGGGGCATTTTCACCACTTCTGCCTACGGCCCTTGGACCCACTGTGCAAGTAGATCGGAACAATGATTCTTCCCAACCCTTGTTGTCGCATGTGTAGCGCTGGTCACAACAGACCTCCGGTGGCAATGGGGAAGAACGGATGCGTGCCACGGACACTTAGAGTTGATTGTCGCGGCCAAGAACCTTCAAAAATCCAATGGGCCTAAATGAGCCGAGCAAAATAAGCGTCCACCACCCCGCACCAACCCCAACAGCCGCCCAGTACAAGTTCCCCGTTCCGTTTCCATCAAACACATCCTGCCCCCACCGAACGGCCCGCCCGCGGCGAGGCCCAGATCCCCTGCGAGCCCCCGATCCCCGATCGGCCTCGGGGGCATGGCCTGGTCCTCCCGCAGCTCAAAGGAGCTGACCATGGCATCGGCCAAAGGCTCCGAGATGTCCACGTGCTCGCCCCCCTCCGAGATGTACCAACCTCGGCGCTTGGAGGAAGCAAAAATCGCGCGAACTCCCCCCCCCCCCCCGAAGAAAAAAGAAGAAGAAGAAGAAGAAAGGAAAGAACGCGCTGGTCATGAGAATAGGCACCTGGACATGGGGCCTGTTGGTTGGCGGTTTGGTGTTCTTTCGCTCGGTGTTTCGTGCTGTTCCCCAGGCCATGTCCCATGCCCCGGGTCCTGGAACCTCTGGTTGCTGGTGCAGTGCGTCCGCTGGTCTTCGAAGCTTTTCACAGACCGCAAGAAAACCAAAACCACAGCCCCAAAATCCAAGGTTCATTGGGGAGTGGTTCCAGGAGAGAACAGGGTCTCTATGTTTGGTGTCTTTGATTTTGTTCTGCTTGCCTCCAGCACGTATGTGTTGCATTCCCGGTTTGTGTTCAAGTGCACTTGTGTGGTTCACATCCAAGCCTTGGTACATGTATTAACAATTAGCTGATATGAAAAGAACGTTCTGTTGGAAGGGAAATCCTGTGCAAATGTAAATTTGACAAAGACATGTTGATCGAATTACGTCCTTATCAAAAGCAAACAGTTCAAAATTGACTAGAATTTAAAGAACGTGATAAAGGTTGCTACTCTCTGGAAATGGCGTTCTTCTTTCTCTTGTCTATTTGCTTATCTCGTTTATTGTTTCTTTGCATATCTCGTTTATTGCTTCTTTGCATGCGGAAAAGGAGTTAACCAGAAATTATTTGTCCGTCCTTATTTCCCTTGCTTGCCCAGCCACAATTGATATGCTGGAAATGCTTCTAGAGATTATTGCCTAAGCGTGGACTTCATTGGCTGGGTAGGATGTGGAAAGGAATGACATATTGGGTACAACTCATCTTGGTTGCTATTGACCCCTCTGCAAGAAGTTTAACTTCTTGTGGGTTTAATGGAAACCCCTTGATTTCCCAAGAAGTTGAGGTCTAAAGACCCAACCCAATAGCAATCAAGTCATGACCTCCAGTGTGGCCAGCTGGAGCTGCTCGCCCCCCCCCCCCCCCCGCTGCAGAAGGCGCCTTGCTGCAGGATCTGCAGCGTCTCCTCGGCGAGCCGCTTCCTGAAGGGGAGTGCAGATTTGTCGGTGGCAAAATACGTAGCCAGACCTCGGTACCCCTTCAAAGGGGAACCCATGGGCTAATAGGTTGCTCAGAAAAACCGCGCGAGTGAGTGAAGCATGTTTCAGAAGGGGCTTGCCAACCCCTGCAGAACCAGAAGGTACTAGAACTCGGCCGGCAACCCCCTGGCCTGAAGTCCTTCTGATTTCTTCGGGACCGCTCATCCCCCTGGATCTCCCGCGGCATCAGGAGCGGCGGCAACCCGCGGCGTGTCGGGGCGGCAATAGCGTTGGTGGTGGGTCCCTTCAGGGGCGAAGGAGCGCTCTCGAACCGCGTCTCGAGTCTCGTAGGTGCACGACATCCTTTGATTTTGGCTTGCCATGTAAAATCGTATGATTTTCTTGAAGAGGAAATGGATCTTTCTGGTTTGGGGTAACCCTCCCAAATGTGCTTACGTTGATGGGAAGGGCAATCTTCGGCCCTTGCGTGGTGCCTCCCTGCAACGCAACCGTCCGGTCCGGCGCTTGAGCCTGGTGGCCAGGGCTCGCGAGGGCTATGTGTCCAGTGTCCATTGGCCCCGTAGAAAACCATCCAAAAGGGGCTCCTCCAGATGAGCTGAGCGAGAAGACCCCGCCTTCGCGCCGCTTTGCTGCAAAATTCAGCAATCCAAGTAGGGTTGCTTCATTGCGACACCCAGTGCTCAGCTGACATGCCATAGGTATGGCACAGATTTCCAGCCCATGCTCATTTTGTTGCCGGTCCAGCTCGTTGCTGAGCCGAAGGTCAATGGCCCCAACAGCATGAGGCCCTGCTCCCGGCCACTCCCCGGCTAAAAGCTGTCTTTATCATTTGCTTGGCCTGGTATCCAATGTGAAAGCAGAATCCATGAAATCCACCCCACCTCTTCAAAAGACCCTACTTGTTCCCCTAACATGTACAAAATTATTTCAACACAAGCAACCAGAAAGGACACCTACAATAACTCTCTCATCTTAGCCTTGATTGACTGGGGATTTGAAACCCCTGCTTGCAAACCAACTCAAACTCTAACCGTCAAAACTTGCGGTACACCAAAACATAAGCACATTTTCAGATCCTGCTTCTGCTTCGCCTTCCCTGAAACCGGTGGTTGGAGTCACTCGCCGGGCGGTTGGGCGCCCCACGTTCCAGGCAAAGCCCCAAGGCACCTCTGCGCCCTCGCGCGCCAGTTGGGCCTTGCGACTTGCGGCCGTTGTGGCCTCTGAGTCGGCTGGTTGGGGGTTGGGGGGTTGGGGGGTTGGGGGGTTGGGGGGTTGGGGGGTTGGGGGGGTTGGGGGGGTTGAGGGGTTGAGGGGTTGTGTAGTTCGGGGGTTGGGGGGGTTGGGGGGATGGGGGGGTTGGGGGGGCGGGGGGCTGGAGGTTAGAAGTTCAAACTTCTTTACCACTAAGATGCTCTCGCATAAGGCCGAGGAACTCGGGGGTGAGTGAGGCCAACAGTGCCCCAAAGACCTCGTAGAAAAGTTGAGCCCGACCACTTCGGTTAATGTCGTGGCTTTAGTGCTAAATTTGCAAAGCCCGAAAGTCGGAAGGCGCCAGTGGTTTCTCGCCACTGAGAAAAAATACCTGGAGTTTCTCGTTTGACAGTTGCGATCCGTGCCAAAAGCATGCCAACAGACCCTTGAAGGCGTAAAAAAGCACTCCCCCAAAAACTCATGACCCTTCATACAGGCTCCGACATTTCCCCAAGGAAAGTGGCCCTTGGAAGCTGTCCAGCCTGGGCCCCACGAAACGGGTCCTCGTTTTTCCCCCACCCCCCTCCCACTGTCTCTATGAGAGCGGCTGGAAAAGGAGCATGGGAGTTGCGATGGCTAGCTCACGACAAACCATGCGGCTGGAACATCACCTGGAACAACACTTGTCCTGGCTGTCGTGTATCAAGGATCTGGACAAACTGAGCAGCCATTTGGTGAGGAAGTATTCCTCGTCACCGGCTCAAAAGCCACTGGCCATGCTCCAGAAAGGCCCCCCCCCAAGAAGCGATAAAAAGATGAAAAGGCACCACTGGCACATCCAGTCAGAGCGACTGACTCCACAGGACCCGAGCCTGGTACTCCCGGCCATCCTGGCGAGCGGATGGATGAACCCAAATATAGGTCAGAACTGAGACTGGGTTCGTTTTAGCAAGGGCCTGAACTTAGAGACCAAAACGCTGCCCTCTTTCCAACAAGCGTAGCAGCGTGGACATGCACTGTGGGGCCCTCCGATAGTCAGCACCCATGATTATTGGAAAGAGGGCAGTCTCTGCCTGAAATGATCCAAAAGTGGGATCCTTACATGATACACCTGGACATGCCTTGTAAATGGTGGTTTCCAACTTTATTTTGGTGTTGAAAAGGCAACATGTTTCGCATGGTTGCGAAATGTATCTTTAAGGAGCCCTGCAAACGTGGGGCTCAAGTCCAGGAACTGGGGGGGGGGGGGGGGCGGGGATCGTTCACCGAGGCCCTGCCGGCGCCAACGGCGCGCCTGCCTGCGGCGAGGGCGGCCTCGGAAGCCGCTGGGCAATCCAAGGAGACTCGCGAGACTCTCGGCGTTTTTGGGGGCCCTAAAGGCCATACAAGTGAAACGAATTGCTCAAAAAAACAAGTTGGTGGTTGCATATATACACATACATATATATATATACACATATATATACATATGTATACACATATATATATATATACATATAAATATATAGGCCCCCCCCCCCTCCAGAGCCTACCTTTCCTCTCTTCTAGTTGAAGGTTTCAAGTCTACTCCGTGTGCCTCCTTCTTGCAGATGCCTGAAAACACTGCAAAAAAATGTAGCGTTTCTTGTTGGTATTTTACCTTCCATATGACAGCACATGTTTGCTTTGCTTTAGCTTGAAAGGCAACAAAGCAAACACGAAGTTCGTTTTCAGATTCGAGTCTGGCTTGGCTTGAAAACACTGGTTGTTACAGTGGTTTTGAGTACACGTGGGAACAAACATTGAAACATGATGCTTCTTTTTTTTGCAGCTTTGAGCTCTGCAACCTGCACAGACCCAAAAGCACAAACACATGCCAAACAAAACTCTAGACCAATTTTGGGAGTCTGGGGATTCCTGCCCATTTGTTTAGCCACATTTAGTCTAAATCATATTTGGGAGTGAGTTACTATCAAAATTTGTTTGCAAAGGCCAAGTGATTTCTTTCCAGATTAATCTCTATTCCAATTTCAGTCACATTTGGGAAGGGATTTCTAATTAATTTCATTTGTTCAAAAGCCAATTGAATTATGTCTGCATTAAAGTATAATTTGACTCTACTGAAATGTTAAGCTTCCTTATTTGGAAAGGTATTCGTGCTCAAACTCTGAATAAATATAGAAATTATGGTGAATTATAAATTGTGGTGAACTATGTCATTACTAAATTCTATTCAACATTCAAATTCAATTCGAGTAAAGTCCGATTGGGAAAGGACTGTATATTTGGACATGGTGGAGGACTCCAGGCTCCAAATTATGAGGCTCGGAGAACCTAACATTAAACATTTCGAGGATTCTGCATTAAACATTTCGAGGATTCTGATGTCCAGATTCCAGGTTTCAGGTGTTTCACGATGGACATTTGAAGGGATTAGAGGTTTAACAAAAAATGCTGTAAATGACGGTGGTTTGCAGAAATTGCTCAGATTGTGTTCCCTTGGACCGAAGATTGTTCATTTCCCAAACAACATGTTCCATTCAACATTCCAATTCAATTCGGAGTAAAACTTTGTTTGGAAAGGAATTCATGTTGGAGGACTCCCGGCTCCAAATTACGAGGCTTGGAGAATCCAACATTAAACATTTCGAGGATTCTGATCTCCAGATTCTAGGTTTTAGGTGTTCCAAAATGGAAATGTCAAGGGATTAGAGGTCCAACAAAATGCTGAAAAAGCGCGGTGTGTTGCAGAAATTGCTCAGATTGTGTTCCCTTGGACCGAAGATTGTTCATTTCCCAAACAACATTTTCCATTCAACATTCCAATTCAATTCGGAGTAAAACTTTGTTTGGAAAGGAATTCATGTTGGAGGACTCCCGGCTCCACATTACGAGGCTTGGAGAATCCAACATTAAACATTTCGAGGATTCTGATCTCCAGACTCTAGGTTTTAGGTGTTCCAAAATGGAAATGTCAAGGGATTAGAGGTCCAACAAAATGCTGAAAAACGCGGTGTGTTGCAGAAATTGCTCAGATTGTGTTCCCTTGGACCGAAGATTGTTCATTTCCCAAACAACATTTTCCATTCAACATTCCAATTCAATTCGGAGTAAAACTTTGTTTGGAAAGGAATTCATGTTGGAGGACTCCCGGCTCCAAATTACGAGGCTTGGAGAATCCAACATTAAACATTTCGAGGATTCTGATCTCCAGATTCTAGGTTTTAGGTGTTCCAAAATGGAAATGTCAAGGGATTAGAGGTCCAACAAAATGCTGAAAAAGCGCGGTGTGTTGCAGAAATTGCTCAGATTGTGTTCCCTTGGACCGAAGATTTATTTTTTCCAAACAACATTCTTCCCCAAACAGTATCCATTTGCTATGCATTAAGCCGCTAAATTAAGCCTACATAAAATTCATAAACTTGCAGAAATGTTTATAAACCTTCTTGAGTGCTTGGCGGTTTCCTGCAAGGCAACACCCTGGGTCATGGTATCCTTGAACGGCGGGGGGGTGGGGGGGGGGGTCGGGGTTGGAAGTCTCAGCAATGAGATGTGACTCAAGCAACTTTGTCAAGATTCTTAAAGACCCCCTCCTTTCCCCCCCCCCTCCCCCCTCCCTCCCCTGTCCCAGACTTCTCAAATCTTCTCAACCTCCCCCCAGGTCACTTCTTGCGTATATGTGCTCACACCCCCTGTCTTGAGGATTCTGTACATTTTGAAGTGGAAAGGCAGGCCCTGCGAGAAAGGGGGGGTGAGCATATTTATATATATATATATATATATTATAGAAGGTCCCTTACATCCCGGACCACAAGGAAACTCTTTTCCTTTGGGACCCTACCCAAAAGATGCCCCCAAAAACCGTGAGTTTAGTTAGGCCTCACTTGGGCTTCTTTGTGCTTGTGTCGACCTGATAAGCGTTAGGAATCCCCGACGACCCTTGCGTTGAGGATCTTGCTTGCCCTACATGGGAAAGGACAGGCTTAACGTTGATTCCCCCGGCTCACCCCCAGAACAAGAGATAAAGGTTTACCCAAGCCACGAAGGTACACAAACACCGGTTTACTAGATGGCCACGAATGAGCAGCGTTAAAAGTCATCCCTCAGGCTTGTTGAATGACAAGCACCGCCATGAAACCCCAGCATGGGTGCTTGAGCGGAGGCAGCCCATTTTAGGTAGGAGTCATCACTCTTGGAGGAAACGTCCTATGAAAATCCGCAAGGTACGGCTCCTAACGAGTTCACATGACCGGCCCGCGTTTGGACACCTGGCAAGCTGAGCCTCACAAGGTCTGCACGCGTGAAATGATCATCTCAACTCCGGCCTCTTTTCAAGGCTGACTCACCTCAAAAGGTCCCCCCCCCTGTCTCCCCAAAACAAGGCCGTAATGAGGACTCGTGGGTGAAGTTAGGTGCTGGGGTCAGTTTGAGAGACACGATACATTGCCATGCCAGGGCACCACAGCAGCGAAGGCGAGCGCGGACCTCAACCAGCAAGCCAAGCTTGCTAAGGGCGGGCGTGAAACGGGCCATGTCAGGCCTTGGGTTGGCGATTTCAGGTTGCAAAAGAACAAAGGTCCATTGGGTGAGCCAAAGTGGCTCTAATGGGTCGGTCCCATATTTGCAAGCAGGAACCCGTTCTTTAGGCAAGACAATCCAACCGCACCAGGGATTCCATTTGTGTGCTCCAACTGATTCCTTCCGGAGGGCCATGTCCTGGATACCAGCGCGGCCTTTGGTTCTGCAGGCAGCTCGAATGGGGAGACCTATGGAACCCCGTCGTGCAGTACCTGTCTGCTGACAACTCATAATCAATTCCGCTGTGCTTGGCACAGGTCAGAGGCACTTGAAACAAGGCAAAACGCCAAGCAATCATAATACAGCCTGCGCCACGCCATAAAAAGTAACTCCTGCGTGACAGGGGAACTAGCAGAATAGTAGAGTATCTGCATATGAAAACGGCTCCGCCCCGGTCTTGGGGTTAAGCAGGTTGCAGCACACAAACCTCCGAGCAGGGTTGGATTTTGCCAGCCACTTTCTCAAACATGCTCACTGTAAACCAACGCTTAAAAACAGGCGCCGTAGGGTTTCCCTTCGAAAAGGTTCCCCATAAAGTGGAGAATTGCCCTCCCTCCAACATGGAAGTGGACAAGGGGCTTCCCCAACAGGACAGCAGTCTTCCAACACCCTTCCGTCAGCTTCCATGTTTGTTGGAAGGGGTAATCCCCTTAACAGGAAGATTGACGAGGGCGCGTCCAAAGGTCCAGCGGTGTGTGGCTCAAACCTCCTGCCTCGGTGCCCCTTCCGCCGGCGGCAAGGCACATTGCTCCCAGAAGCAGAGCCCTGTGCCGAGTGCGGAGCAGATCTTGCCGCCCTCAAGGGGCGTGGTCGACCTGCGCGTGCGTGTGCCTTTTGAGGATAGCTATTCTGGGGGTGGGCTTGAAAGGAAACCAGCAGGAAAATTTTGGGGGTGGCCTCTTTTTGGGGTAGGTTTGAAGGGCAACCAACAGGAAAACCGCACCCCTATTTTCTCTCTCGCCCACCTGACCCCGCCCTTGATGCACAGCTCCTTACCCTGCGCGCCACAGAGAGGACGCCCCTTGGCGCGAACTGCCGAGACGCCCAGCCCGGCGCAGAAAATGTAGCAGAGCCTCAATGGCAAGGAGCTGGAAAATACAAAGTGGACCTTTCCAAAAACCTTGACTAACAAGAGGCGTGTGTCATTGTCCTTGGGCTTCCTTTCACACCAATCCAAAATAGACCAACACTGGTTGAAAAAACCGCTAGCATGTGGATCTGTTTTGGGCCAGGGGCCAGAAAGTGTCGCCGAAGTCGGTGGACCAATCGAAGAGCTTCTGATCGCTCCATCCACTGGACCCCGCCAGCGTCTGGTTGAAGAACACGCAGATGGGCGAGCCATCTGCAGGGGGAAGTGAGCACTGGTCAGTCAGGCACAAGCACACACGCAGAGAGGCGCAAAAGGGATCCCCCACGTCCGTCATCACGCACCTGGAGTGAAGGCAAATGTTCACGGCCTCACCGCCGAAGAAAGGATTGTGCACAGCCCCGATGCCCACACCCTGACAGGGTCCGGCGATTCAACCTCTCGTTGATCATGGTTTAAGCCGCTATTGTCTTAACAACCTCCTGTTCGCTTCCATATGCAGGGTGCAACCTCGTTTCTCTTTTCAGGGGACCGGTCCGGTTGGCTATTTCAAGACATTCCGCCTGGCAGCAGCAGTAGTTCAGCCACCACAGCTCCGCGAACATCCGATCCCGGTCGAGGTGGGCCGCGATCTCCGACTGGCCGATGTCCGGCATGGCGAGATCGCGAGCGGCGAGCGGAGGGGCCAGTTCAACGCTTGAGCCCACCTTACAGCTGGCAACGAAATGCGGGAAATGTGCGGGTGTGTGTGTGTGTGTGTGTTTTTCAGGGTGCCGGTTGGAGAAAAAAATGTGTTCTTCTTCCAGGGTGCTGTTGTCACCTTGCTTTGGAAAAGCCACTGATTCTACCCTCCCCCCCCTTGACAAAACGAATAACAAGCCCCCCCCCCATCCCTCTATCGAGCGGGTCTGCCCCCCACTTCAAGACGTAAACAAGAAGCAAGCAGATCCCAAGTTTGGTAAACCCTTCAGTTTATCAGTGCGGTGCCCTCTTGCTAGTTGCGTTAATGACGCCAAGTTTTTGCTATTCGGTACCCTGTTTGGTGGTTGGGCGCCTTCTTCCTGTGCGCCCTCTGAATGATTCAGCATTCGGAAGGGACAGCGTGGATTCCTTTTCTTTGCCCGTCTGGTGGACAACCGTCTGGGGCCCCTAGATGCAGAACAGGCACAACTCTGGCCCCAGAACTTCGCTAGTCAACAGAGACAACCTAATGTTCACCAAACCCTGCAGCAACCAAAAACTTGGCAATGCCGCTGGCGATCCATGAAGTTCTCCCAACCTTTCCTATCTGGCTGCTTGTAAAAACCCGCCCATTTGCTGATTGGCGCGGTCAGCAACAAGGGTAGCCTGCTCATCTGCTCCCTAAAAGCTTGCTGGCCAGGTTCCTAGCTTTTGTTGAAATAAAGAGGGGCTTAAAACGGAGGTTGCTTAAACAAAAGGCACGGTTGAAGCCAGGGGTTCGCCAACGCTGGCGATGTGCATCCTTCTCAGCGCGAGGCCTTCTGCGCCCGCGGGGGAAACGGACACCTGGCGAAACCACCGATCTGCGACAAGGAAAACAAGTCGACCGCGCCATTCTCGGGCTCACCCCTGGTTCCCCTAGTGCCAAAGTCGCATTACCCCAGACGACCGTCATAATGGCTGGTTCCTCCTGTAGTGGGAAACCTGGCCCTCCGATCATTCCGAAGTTCACGTGGATCTCATTCATGCATGGCCTGAAACGGCAAAAATGACATTTCCTTATGTTTGAAATTTAAAGAAAAAAAGACCCAGGACCAAAAAAAAAACGCAACAAGGCCCACTCCCCCGATCCGCCGTCCGTACCGCCGTACCGCGCTTCTCCGCCCCGCCTCCTCTGTGACGCGCGGGCCTACGCGCGAATGTGTCCCATCCGGATCCTCCATCGAGGATCCACCCCGTTGGTGGGTATCATTCACGTGGCGAACATGCGGAAGACCAGCTTCAGGGGCGCTCCTCATTAAAGCTCGGTAGCCTAAAACGGCGGCTGATGGTGTTGCCACGCCTTTTTCAGTGCTTGGATTGTTGTGTTGAACAGCACCCTCGGCGCAAAATGCAACGGTCAGGTGAGAAGAAAAATTCACGCCTCCAGACCAGGCTAACATTTGGCTACAATGTAACTTCCCAGAAAATATGCCAATTACCCTCTCAATGTGCCACCCTCTGGGGCACATCAAGGGCCCACAAAAGGACTTGCCACCCGCTTGTGTGGCCCACCCTTGCTGAAACCTCGTGTGTTGACAGCCTTGACATTGTGGCTCCAAAACGGTGTTTAAACCGCACCCAGCCGCCACCAAATCAAGCTCACGTGAAATTGGGAACCAAAAGGTGATGATTGAAACTACCACACCCAGTAACCCAGTTGCCCAGCAACCCCTTTCAGAAAAAGAATTGCAACCTTTTTTTAAAGACAATTTGCGGACACGAAAACGGCCCGGAAGGAGGCACTGAACGAAGTGTTGCAAAAGGCCGGGCCATGCCCAAAGAGGCGCTCCACCTCGCCTCTGCGACGCAGGCCTTCGGCCTGCACTGCAAGACCCAACCCCCAACAAGCTGTCTGGTCAACCAACATACCCCTACCATGGTACCAACCAAATGGCCAACCGGCCAAATCCCCCTCCCAACTGAAAAAATAATAAAAATGCTGGCCAAAAAGGAAGGGCGTGCACAGCCTCCCTTTTCAAGCGTACAGCAGTCTTTTTAAAGGGTGTGCACCATGTTTGGTAGGGTGTCCCTGCAGAGGACATGAATCATGCATGCTTTCCCTTCTCAGACTACTTCAAGTTTCACCGAACAACAGCCATATCCTTGATGTTCTCTTCAGAGACCCCTGGGCAACAGAAGGCTGCAGGAATGCCTAGGGGTGTTCTTGGGGTAGCCCAACAGCAGCAAGTCTCTCGACAGGCGCAACCGTGTGCCTCCATGCATTGAAGGTTTCAAAGGAAAACGCCCGCTGGCAGCTTACCAGCAGTGGCAACTGGCATCGGGGATACCTTTGCCACAAAGGTTCTTTGACAGTTGGCAAAAACTCGCCAAAGTCTACTACACCTCTCCATATTCATATCTATTTGTACAAAGGGACGTCTACATTTTCACAGATGATACCTGAGTAGCGCAGCAGTAAACCAATGGAAACCACTACGATCTGGCAATAGGAGCAAGGATCCCACCTATTCCAGAGCAGGGCCAGCCACCAGCTCAAACATGAAGCAACTCCTGCTACGATCTCCGACCGCGCGGCCCCCTGCAAAGGGGGACTGATTCGGGTCTGCTGTTGAAACCAAACTTCGCACACTGCTTGCCCGTCAACTTTGGGGACGCGAGCTGCACAAAGACGGTGATGTAGCAGCTAAATCCTATGATCACGACGTCATACACCTTGATAGCACCAACCACAACTACAATCTAATTCTGCTTCCGAGCGCCCTGAAGTACCCGTTCAGTTGCCGCACTGCCAAGTTGTTGCTAACATGTTCCCCGCCCCAAAAGGCTCATACGCCCATGGCTTCATCGCTTGACTAACCCACGAAGCTTTACGCTTCCTCTGCAGTCAGGGGCGGCCACCCGCGATTCCCCGCCTCGCTCGGCTCCAAAGCCTTGCTCTCAGCTTTCTTCGGCTCCACAGAAGCGGCAGAAGCGGCAGAAGCGGCAGAAGCGGCAGAAGCGGCAGCTTCTAGGTGAGCGAGCCAGTGAGCCGACCAGAGACCGAAAGGCAAAGCTGGTTGAAACAAATGTATCCTGGTTCAAGTCAGATTCCAGATTGGTTCAGGCTTGAAGGCAGCCTTCGGCAACAACCCTGAGTAAGCCGGTAGCACAAGACCCGGAGAAAAAGGAAACGCTTTCTGGGCCTGTTGAAAGGAACCCCCACTCCCCCAGTTGCTTTGCCCAGCGACCCTGAAGGCTTTAGCCCGGTGATGGCAAGGTAGTAGTTGCAACAAGTGAAACCGGTTTTAAAGAATGGGATCCCGGCTTTGGGCTGTTTAGCGGAGAGCCTACCAAATAGCTTGAGAGGGTGGAACCCACAACTGGGGAAGCCCGCGCCCCGCTGTGAAGATGGGTGGTGTCTTTAAAATGAAAGCCCACGCGCCGAAGCAAGGGCTTCAGTTCCCTTGAATTCTTTTTGGAAATCAGGTTCCTTGCGTGCGATGGTGCCAAGAAGAGGCAGACACGGATCCCGTTGCAGGGGTGATGAAAGGCTGGGGTCCCGTTGCGCGTCCCTTGGAACAAGATCCCAAAATATAAAATGCCACGCCTAGGTATGATAACCCAGGCGCATGATGCGGACTGCGGAGTCATTGGGAAAGCAGTCACATCAGCCGGTCGACACGTTGCTGAAAAGAGCCAAGCTGTATCCTTTAAGTAGGCTATGCGTTCAACAACTTTTTGGGGGTAAACCCAGGAGTGCAGAGCCCTGAATGATGAAAGGGAGTGGCGCGCTTCTTTATTTGGGGCCAACCTTGCTTGCAAATCCCCATTGGCTGGGTCAAAGAGCAGCACGGGCGCGCCATCCCAGAGACGCATATTTGCTCACTCTCGCTCACTCTCACTCACTCTCACTCTCACTCTCACCTCTCACTCTCACTCTGACTCTCACTCTCACTTTCGCTCACCACTCTCACTCACTCACTCACTCACTCACTCACTCACTCACTCACTCACTCACTCACTCACTCACTCGCTTCACTCACTCACTCACTCACTCACTCACTCACTCACTCACTCACTCACTCACTCACTCACTCACTCACTCACTCACTCACTCACTCACTTTCTTCTTCTCTCGCTCTCTCTCTCTCTCTCTCTCTTACTTGTCACTGGGGGTTTATCCTGAAGGATCCCAGGATCGTAGCCTGTTGGGCAAATCCAGATATTGTGATAGTTCCGAACACGGGCCAAGGCCTGCAGCGGCTCCCGTTATGGGGAACTAAAGCAGTCCAAGATGCGCCAGGTAGGGCTGAACAAAAGGCTCCGCGACACAGGGCAGATGCTAAGAGCTTGCAAACTGAACTGGGGACAACACGTTCTTACAAACAAGGGCGCGGTGGGCCCCCAAAACCTCCATGGGCGCGCTTCCACTTTCTAACTGGAATAGGCCACTTGTTTCCTAGGTGCAGACGAACAGGCCGAGGACGCACTAGAAAGGAGGAGCTCTCCTAGGCCTGCTGTGTGGCGTTCTTTTTACAAGAAGCCTGCTCAAAATGAAGCACCCCGTAGATTGCTGGCTTTAACTGGGAACCAAGCACAAGCCAACGCTTTGTCTCTTGTGCCGAGGCCTGGCTTGCCAACATGCGGCAACAGCTTGGGGGGCCAACTTCTACCTTTGACAAATCATGTTTGAAGGGCTTTCAACGGTTCAGCTTGCGAAGGCCGCGAGACCTCAAGTAAATGGAAATGCTACCCCCATTGGCAAGCGCCTGTGCCGCGATTGATTTTAACGCGATTCGCCGAGCCCCGCGACCCCAGCGTTGCGCAATGATCTTTCTCAACTTGGCGCCCACGCAACGCGCGTGAAGCTGACGCCCTTCGAAGAGCCAACCGCGATCCTAGATGCCACAACACACGCCTCAATGATCAGCACGCGGTGGCCTGCCCCTGCAGCATCCAAGACCACGCGGGGCACTGCGACCGCCATCTTGAGCGGCAACATTCAGGCCAAACGGTACCTGCGCGTGCTTCCTGAGCGGGGCCCAGGATGGAGCAGAACGCTTCTGAAGCAAAGCTAACTTTATATTGCTGCAATGGCGAGGCATAAGCAGCTTACGCTGGCAACTTTGCAGGCTTGCTTTCGCTGCAGAAAGTGGCAGCTCACTTTCACGTATTCAGTCAACACCTATCGCCCAGATTGAGACCCAACAAACGCGCAGCCCAGCCTATGCTGTTAGATCTCTTTGCGCGTAGCGACGATACGCATTGCCCTGCAAGGACAGGGTCCATTAGGTGACGTCCTGGACATTGTCCTCTACAAATGGTGGTGCGCGAGGGAGCCAGCCCCGAAAGTAAGCTTGAGAACCCTCCACTTTAAGGGGCCCAATCTCATCAACCAATACAAATGGAGCACCTTTGTCACAGGTCGGTATGGAAAACAAGCAAACAAACTGTAGATCCTGCGCAACCAAAAAAAAAAAAAAAAAAAACGACCGCCAATTCCCCGCACATCCCCCAAAAACACCACGGCACCCAGCCCTAAACCCTCCAGAGGCTTCCACCCCCTCACCTTCCAAAGGCATCCAAGGCTTCCGCCTGCATGAGAAACAGCAGACCTACAGGACATGCCCTGATAGACAGAATGACCTGCGCAACAAGTGTTCCGACCCACCAGCTGCACTGCGATTGGGGCTTCACTCAGGCTTCATACTCCCCAATGATTGAGCTCTTTCGTATGGTTCACGCTTGGGGTCTATTTTGCCAACCTGAAACAAGGGGTTGGGGGCCCATTCCCCACATAAACCACCATTTGGGGTGAGGTCGTGTGAGGTCGTTATAATTCACCCAGATCTTTAGGTTGTTAGTGTTTTGGGGGTTGCCCTCCCGCCCCGGAAATTCTTAAAGCCCAGCCGCTTTCTCTAAGCTCGCGCTCTCGCCGCGCCGACTCCTGCCCGGAAGACGGAAGGGATGGCTGACATTCGCAGGGCTCCTCAAAGGATCACGATTTGTCGAATCGACCACATATATCCCATAAAGCACGCCGTTTGGCTCCTGCCATCATGACATAGGGATTTGAACTCCTGAGTGCTCGCAAGCGACCAAGTCTACCTCAAATTCTCCGCCCACCCCCCAAACCAAAAATCATATATTATTTGATTCTGGCCCATATGTTCAAAACAGATCCCAGAAGGGGGGGGCCATCCCCTAACCTCCAAAAGCATGGCGGCCCCAAACCATCAATCATCCTGGCGCAACCTCCCGCAAAAGGTTTGCGCCCGCGGTGGTGATCACTGAGGTTCCAGGGCGCCCCTTGATTCATTGTGACTAGTATCTATCTGTCTGTCCATCTGGCTCTCTTTGTAGCTTACTCAGAATCTGATCTGTCCTCACCTAGTCATCTGACCCTGTGAATGAACCCAGGGGTACCCTCAAAGGAAGCCACAATGGTTGAGTTCGGGGTCCTTCCATGTCTCATTCCTTGCAAACCGTCACACCAGTGGCACAAGAAATGCACCAATGAGACCAGGAGGAAAGCCATCATCCCTTTGTAGAATCTTTGTGGCCTGCATGGCATTGCAAGCAAGTCTCGCACCAAAATGCCAAAAAGCAACATCAAGAGATGATACTCCGTGACTACGTTGCAAGCAGCTTAGGGACTTCAGCAAGCCAACGCCTGTGCCACATCAGCCACCCCCCGAACCCCCCAAACCTCCCAAACCCCCCACCCCCGGAACCCCCCACCCCCCAAACCCCCCAAACCCCCCAAACCCCCCAAACCCCCCCCCCGAACCCCGAACCCCCCAAACCTCCCAAACCCCCCACCCCCGGAACCCCCCACCCCCAAACCCCCCAAACCCCCAAACCCCCAAACCCCCCAAACCCCCCCCCCGAACCCCCCGAACCCCCCGAACCCCCCGAACCCCCCCCAGCCAGGACCGGCCCGCTGGAGCAGAAGCCCCACCAGGGCCAGCAGAAGCAGCGCCAGCAGCACCACCTGGCGCCCGTTTGCGCCCCGTTTTGTGGGTACCCCTTGTTGGGCTGGGTCCAGGTTTAAAGGGAACCTTTCAGAGGAAACGGCTGATTTGGAGGGATCCCGAGTTTGCCTTTGAGGGCTTTAAGGCGGTCCCCCTGCGAAGGCAACTGCTAGTTGTTCATCCTTACGAGTCATTGACGTGGACAGGTGGGAATCCTCAAATAGGTCAAAGCTTGCAGCGGGCGGCCCGTTCCTGACAAAAGATGCTCAACCCATGCCAGCGAGACAATGGCCCACGCGGCGGCCGCCGGAATGGCCGGAGCGGCGGCCATGACCGGAGGAACATGAACCTCTGGCATGACCGGAGCCACCGGAGGGACCGGCACTGGCCGGACCGGAGGGCCGACCGGTGGCACAGCCTCCACAGGAGCGGGACGCATGGCTTCGAGGGCTTCCGGCCGCATGGCTTGGCGCACGGCCTCTGGCATGGCGTGTGCTTCCGGCATGGCGTCAGGCACGCCTTCCGGCATAGCGATTGACCAGAAAACAGCCTTGGAACCTTCTTCCTCCATTGGCTATGGGGCAGCTCACCTGGCTGGTGCACTGCCTGGCACATGCTTCCATTTGGCCGTTGCTTTGGGGTTGTAGGCCAGCTGGTTCAGACCTTCCGAGTGATGCTATTGGCCTTGCTATGGCCGATTGCTCGCAATCTTGAAGCGACAGCTTGCCCTGAACAGCTTGCCAACAGGGCCCATCTGATGAGCAGAAGCTAGAGGAAAGCCAAATGGCGGGATGTGGCTGCAGCATCTACTGCTGCCCATGCTCGTTTCAGCTTAACTGCGCAGAAGGTGATTTATGCCTAGGCTCTGATGTGCATAAATCGGTGGCTGAGTATTGCCCGAGAAAGCCATTCACATGAAGCACCCGCGACCAGGCCAATTACAATTCCACCTTGCCAACCTTCAACTGCACTGGATCTCCATCCTCACTCAACTCCACACATCATCGCCTTGTTCCCCAAGCACAGCCAGCGACCCTGGCAGAAAAGCATTCAGCATCATTCAACCAGTCAATCCCATGCTCCAGTAAGGCAGCGGAACTGTGGGGCTTCCCTCCCCAATAAAGTGCTAAATAGAGGACCCCATAACACGTCGATGCAGGGATTCGCCCAACACGCGCTTGCAAAACCACCCGGGCCACGGTTGCAGGACTTTTTCCACGTGCTGCGTGGCGCGCGGGAACGGGAGAAAAGCAGCTTTGGCCCTGGCCCGCTGGCACCCAAAGGGCAGGAGATGAAATGATGAAATTCAAATGATGTTTGATCGCGGTTCCCAGAACGGTAGATGTTGGAATTAGAATTTCTCAACGGGGGGAAGTGATTGTGGCTGTTGACCTTGCAGCCTTGCCGCGGCCGAAGCACTCGCCCGCCCGCTCGCCGCGATGTTTCAGAGGGCAATGCGTCTTGGTCACGCCTGGGCGTGATGGGGCAAGCCCAAGAAGCGATCGATGTGACACACACCCAGCCCAGCCCTGGCAGAAAAAAATCCGAACCGTTTGGGGCGTTGACGGTTTTGTGCGGGGAAACCATTAGAAAGCCAACAAGCAATAAAGGGGTGGAATCCACTTAGCTTCTGGGCAATGAGCAACAGAATCGCAACTTTGAAGGAGAACTGAAGCGTCTGACCCACGCATATGAAAGGCTAGCAAAGGTCAAGGAGCTTTCCGGTGTTGGTGCCCCCAATGCATGCCTGAGTCTCGCCTTGCACGTGGAGCACCAGGGGAACATATGTTAGGAGGAGGAATGACCGACCAGCTTGCCCCACAAGAAGATTCACACGCAGGATTGGAGGCCATCATTCAATGTGCTCAAGGGGAAGTTGGCAGTTTAAATCCGCTGTGCGAGTCAGTCAATACAAATTTCAAGCATGAGAGCTCCTTGAACCAAGGGCACAGAACCCAGTCTTCAGGGTTCATGAAAAGGCCGCCAGGAGGTGTCTCGCTGGATGCAGCCGTGCACATCCCGGAGTAGCAATGTGTTGAGCTGGGAGGAAACACAACTGATGAACTCACGTGCAAGAGCAACAGGTGAAAGCAGCGTTGCAAGCCTATGAACGACTGCTTGCTTGCTTGTCAGATGGCCTGCGTTGCCATCCCCTTGCTCCTTAGCCTCTTGCGAAGGCAGGCCAAGGCGGCTCCAGACGCAACGAGTCTCCGGCCGCTTTGTTCCCTCGCCGTTTGAAAGCGCGCGAAGTCGCGCAGCCACAGGGAACCCTCCCGCGCTCGAATCCATGAAAATTGGGGGGGCCGCTCGCCGGGCTACGCCTGCAAGAGGGGCCGCTAGGCAGCTGTGCAGCTGACAGGAAAATCGGAAGGCCGCGAACTTTTACACACCGATCAAGTTTCAGCACATGTCCTGAATTCTGGGTCTTAGAAACAGCTTCTGAACAAGGGCCTCTCCGAAAACCTTGCACCTCGCCCCTGCGCGAAGCTGGGGCCACCCCCCAAAGGTTCAAAGTTCCTTCGCTGGGTGCCAAATATATGGAGTCTACACAAACGAACAGGCAACCCTTCCCTTTCCGGTTTCCTTTTGCCAAAATTGCGTGAACAATGGTGTAATTTATTTCGCACCCAAAGCGCCGGGCCCGCAGCCGACGCATCGGAATTGAGCGCCTGGAAGCTATGCTAAGTCGCGTCGCCGTGCATCTGAGGCATATCTCTCTCCAAACCAACCTGCAAAGAGGCGAAAGGCCCCATGCTCCATTGAGCCTGGCACGTGGGGCACTTCAGACAAAGGCTCGCGCGATGAATCACACCGGCTGGCGATGGCAAAAAGGAGACTTCAGAAACTGGCCGCCGCCCTCCGGCGACCAAAAGTAGCAACAGACCCTAAGCTTTGAAGGCAAGGTTAGCTTGAACCATAGTGAGCAACGACACCCAAAAAAAGACAAACACACACACACACACCCACACACATTTCGGCAACTTTTGTTCACCTCCCCTTTGGGTTCCTTCCCCCCAAAAAAAACGAGGCCCTCGCCTGGTCGGCTTCACATGTTGAAACCGGCTCTCCGGAGCCCCGCCGCCCCACTCGAGCCGCTCGAGCCGTGACACGGCTCGCTCATCCCGTGAGGCGATGCACCACCTCCCGGCACTGGGCCGAGTCCAGTCGCCGCAAGTCCGCGCCAGAGGCCTGCGGCGGGGGGAAGGCGGGCTGCGATAGGTAGGGAAGGTGGTTGGAATGAACCGGTGGTGGGGGGTCCCTAGAAAAACCGCCAGTTGGACAGAGATGGGGCCCTCTTGCTGGTGCTCAGTAGGGAATGTGGTTGAATGAACCCAGAGATGCACCCAGGTTGATTCCCGAAAAGGAAGCCACCAGTTGGATGGCTTTTAGTTCGGGGTCATTCAATTTCTCATCCCCTACTGAGCAACCGGCAAGTCTTGCAGCACCAAAATGCCTAAGACAACAAAAAAAGGCAAACACTTAGACTATTTTGCATGCCTTAGTGAGTATGAAACAAATATCCACGGCAGGGTTGCTCCGAAAGACCCGATCGCATGGCTCGGAATTCGGGCCGAGGGAAGCCAAAGGAAGTTGGGCCTGCTGATCAAAAGGGAAACCGATTGGTTCTGCTGACCAAAGGGAAACTTCTGTGCTGACCAAGAGTTTGGCCAGGAATGTTCTACCCCTGTGTGCTGAGGCTCGCAGCCACACTGCCCGTAAGAAGAATCCATGTACAGGGAATTGCCCACTCCCCGACTTGCATAAGACAGCTCCGTTGCTCGAGGCGGCTCTATGGTCACATCTAGCTTCAATTTGTCTCACTTCCTTAGAAATTGGACAAAGTAGTCCAAGGACTTGTTGTCTACCACTAAAATAGTCTTCTAGAAAAGTTTGAAGTCCATAAACTCGGGAAGTTGGTTTGCACGTTGATCTCTCATTGCCCCCCACCCCTAACTGTGATTGCTGGCGGTTACGATAGCGACTGCACAAGAGGGACCGCTACAAGGTTACCCAGTGGCCATGGTATCACGGTAGAAACGAGAACCTTTTTCGGAGTTGACCATCTTTAGCGAGAGCCCACCTCACAATGGGGCAAAATCGTGCCAAAGAACAACTCGCACGACTCATCATGGCCACCGACCGAACTGAGGTTTATGCAGATCAGCTACCGAAAGCAAGGTTACACTTTTGCCACCCAATTCGATCAAGCCGGCTAGAAGCGAAGGCGGCCGTGATTCGATCGTGGCAGTGCCTTCAAGTGCTAAAAGGTCCCGGTCCGCCAAAAGAATCCGTGTCTTCATGTCTCGTCCAATCATTGGTGATCATGACCCCGACCGGTTCCCCCGACATAATCCCTGCCTCAACAGACCCTGAAGGCCTATGCATATGCTTGCTCAAACTGCATTGCTTTACCCTGAGGCTCCCAGCTGCCTCTACAGTAGGTGATTGTGATTATCTCCTTCCCCCAGCAATCATGGAAGTTGACAGGAGGGTGTGGGCAAACGACTTTCCTTTTTGGGGGACCTGCCTCACCACTTCTATGATGGTTGGAAAGAGTGTGGCTTCCACTGAGCAGCAACCAAATAGCGACAAACACCCATTGACTTTTGGTCCTACCAAAATGGATGCAACGTCGTATGTAGGCCCGCGCTAGATGAAACCAGGCCAACCTGCCTGGCCGACTTCTAGTTGGGGCACATGGATGCCCTTCTTGCTGCCGGAGACCTGGAGTGCTCCGAAAGGGCAGACTTGCACCCCCGCTGAAAGGGGGGGAAACATGGCTTCCCTCCAGTCCCCAGAATTTCCCTTGCTAGTCACTCAGCCCAACGGGGGAAGATTGGGAGATCCCCAGTTGCCTCCAGAACAGCAAAGCTGGATGTTAAGGATGCCCCTCGAATTCGGCGAAAACGGGAGGAAAAAACGGAACTGACCACTGACCTGGCCGTGGCAATGGTCGGAACATCCGCGCCACGAAGCCATGAGACATGCGGGCAGTGTCGCAGACCAATGTGGAAGAGCCATCAGCCTACAGAAAGCACGGGAAACCGCAGCGAGACCGATTTTCTGCGGGGCTTTATGTACCTGCAAATTAACTTGGAGCCTAGACAAGGGGCTTCAAGACTTGGGGAAGCAATTGCTTATGGCTTCCCAAAACCCCTCAAACACGTCCCTGAGAGCCAAGACAAATCCTCCTTGACCGTTCTGCAACTGGACTTGGTTGCTGTTGACCCCTCTGCAAAATGTTTAACTTTTGTGGGTCCAATGGAAAGTCCACTGTTTCCCAAAAAGCTAACGTCCAAAGATCCAACAAAATAGCCAATAAAGTCCCACGGCAGCTCGTCGCTTTTTTCCACTGTACCCTTTCTGGGTGGCTTTTACGGTGAAGCCAGGGGCAAAGCAACATTGGGGGTTCCCTTAAAACAAGTTGCCCATATTGTCCGTAGGGGACGGATATCTTGCCGAATGGTGACAGCCCAGATCAGCCCCCCCCCCCCCCCAAAGGCCTCGTCCATGGTCAGAGGCCGCAAGCCACGGCGAATGTCCCAGAGCACCAGCACGTGCTTTGGGTCCACCCACCGTCCCCCAACCGCGCCGTCCTGCGGCAATTGAGTCACCCTCATGGTCGAGGCGCCTTTGTTGGCTTCTGTGTTAGGCAGCGTGTAACCACCCATCCCTGTTGTCCGTAGGCATCAAAACCAAATGCAGGGGGTTGGAGGGTGGGGTACCCACCGCAACTCAATCTCATCTGCATGTTGCTCACTGCTGGTAGCTCCGTAAGGCTCCCTCGTTCAAGTCATATATTTTTTAGATTCCCCAGTCCCCAGGCGCTAGCTAGCGCCAATCCCTGTCCCATGTCGGGTAAAGCCCCGGGCGGGGTCAACCAGAAAGCTCCCCACGAGCCTCCCTCATGTTCCCCCTGTCCCGTTCTAAGGAAGAAAGCATCAGCCCAAGCGGACCGCGAAAAGCTTGGTCCAGGAAGCTCAACTGCAGCCCCCACAGCCCCATCTTCTAAGTCCCCTGTAAACCTCCCAAAAACCGCCCAAGGGCTACCAAGAAACTTCTTTCGGGGGATTTCCGAGCAGCCACAAGGCGCAGCTTGTCCACGCTCGCGACACGCTCACCAGAAAGCAATGACGGCCAATGAGCCCAGTTGCCACTCTCAGCCGTTTCCGGGCCCAGTCAGAGCAGAATCCGGTTCGCTGTTTGTCGCTAAGCAACTCACAAAAAGCCAATTGAGCTGCGATGTTTTTCGGAAACCTGACGGAAACACCGAAGGCTCTAAAACTTGTCTTGCTAAGATTCTGGACATCGGCCCGAAATTGTCCAGTGGGAACTGGCATGGCTTGGGCTGCTCCTGGCTGGTGCTTCTCAATGACGTGTCTCAGAGCTTCTGATGGACAAGAATCCTGCACCAGTTGGTAGGTGATTTGTCCCATTAGAGTCAATTGGGCTTGTCTTCCCGCGCCTGGTCTGGAATCCTTTCGATATGAGCAGCCCCTTGAAACATGGCATGGCTTCTCTCGAATTAGCGCCATGCCGTTGCCGGGTTTCCATGCAAGGCCTCGCCCCAAGTTGGAGCGAAGAACCGTCGCGCTCGCCTCGTGAACGCCAAGCCACAAATGGAACAGGGCCAGAAGGAATGCGAACCAAAACCGGACGGAGAGCCCTGTGGTTGATGCCAGGCAAACAAGTCGCTCTGTTCCGAGTGCGGCTGCTGCCAGCTTGGAGCCCTATACATCCCCGAGCCTTCCAAAGGCACGCACGAGCCCCTGGCAATCCGAGACATTCAATGCCGCAAGGGGCGCACAACAATGACATTGCCCAGTGACCCTGGTGGACAAGAAGCCTTTTCGGAGTTGAACATGTTTGGCATCTCACCGAACAAAACGGGGAACACAAAGGTGCCACTGAAGAACTCCTTCCAACCCCCAACTTCACCAATCCGAAATCCAAGTTGCGCACCGCCTGCCCAAGAAGATCTGGCGACTGAATGCGATCTGGCATTGGTGAAACCGGGGGTGAAACGCCGTCGTGGCCACGATTAAAGAAACCTCGCCCCAGTTGACCAGGATACCAAGGCCGATCAGTTCGCCAGATACAAGTTTCACACACGGATTTATTGAAACCACAAACACTAAAGCGCTGATGCCTCAAACCGCATGATGTCGGGGCGAGGTCCGTGGCCATGGCCATTTCGGCCCTTGATCAAAAAACAGAGAAAAAGGTACCTAGCTACCCCAGAGGATCCGGTGGCTGGCAAGTCACCGGAAGATTGATACAGGAGTCACATCTTTTTGCATGTCTAGGTCCTCCAGTAGAGAGGCTAGAATAAGGGTACTTCCAACAAAAAAGTGTAAAAGGGCACTACTGGGGAGATGTTCAAGAAATCGAGTCGGATCCTCTGGACAGAGATGGATTCTCAAGACAGGGTTGGGCCAGGCACACCAAAGATTTGAGTGTGTCTGTTTTGTTTTCTTCTTTGCTGGTCCCCGTTTGCTTGGCTTGGGGAACACCAAGAGGAAAAAACTGACCGCGGGACCAGGACCTGAATTTTGAGATGTCATCTGAACAGCTCCTTTGGGTTAAGTGATGCCCGGGGTCTGCTTCAAAGCAAGTTGGTGCCCCTCTTCTTCAAGCGAATGCCAGGGTGCGGTTTGTATAGCCGATGATAATCCCGTTGCAACGACCCCAGCATGGTTCCCGGGGAGATACCAGTCTCCTGTTTAAACTTCCCATCTTTTTTCGGAAATCGCCGATTGCCTGTTTGTTCGGCCCCTAAGACACCCGTAGGGCAGGGCAAATCCATGCGAGGGAGGGGAGGGTAGGAGGTGATTGCTGGCCACCTTCCACGTATCCTAGACCTAGGATTTGAATATCTGTTCGTTCAATATCTTAATCAAGTGCAAACATGCCATCCTCTGTCCAATCATGGAAGTTGCGCAAAAGTGAAGCCCCTTCTCCACTTCCACGTGGGAACAAAGACGAAAGTGTGTGTTTCTTTAGGGGAGCCTCCACATGGCTATTTCCCTTTTGGTGTTCCTTTTCCACTGCCAAAAAAAAAGTACTGCACTTCCCGAGCCTGAGGTGGGACACCCCCCCCCGTCACTGGTCAAACCTTACCTTGGGCCCAGCCCCGTCAGAAGGTCTTCTTCGCCTTCTTGGAGATCTTGTTGCCCGACGGCAAGGGCGCCCGCGGGCTCAGGCCGTACATGCCCCGCACCCCGCCGGTGGCCGCCATGGACCGCACCTCCCCGGCCTCAACATCGGAGGTGCCTTGGAGCCCTGGTTTTCATGGGTGCTGGGGGGGAGGGAGAAGAGGGGGAGGGAGCCCAAACAAGCCCTTGTTAAGCCCTTATCAAGGCCTTATTTAGGGCTTATTTGGGCTCCCTCCCCCTCCCCTCCCCCCCAGATCCCAGCCCCCATAAGGTTTGGGACACTTTTCTCCGTGACAACTTCGGCATTCCAAGAGAAAACCGACACTTTTGGGTCATGCTTTTACTCAGGTAGGCTAAAGCGGACCGGTGCGTGGGCTTCTCGTTCCCCCCCCCCCCCCCCCGCCCCCATGCAGATTGATTAACATGGGGTGCTGTTTAGAGGGGGGCAGGATTCCTGTCCCACAGCTAGGTGGAAAAAATAACCACAAAGCACGTGAAGACACTTGTTTTGGAAAGAAGAACCCCGGAACTCACACTGTTAGCAATCCTCTCTCTTTTCTTAGCGGCAGTAGCGGTACAGTACCCTGCTCAAGTTTCATAGCACCGAAACATGCGCCAAAGGGGCTCTGCAACCGTGACAACCATGTCAGGTCAACTTGTTGTCACCCCTCTTGTGCCATCAGAAAAGCGGCCAAGTATCTGCTCAACGAGCTTTGGACATGCTGTCCGTCTAAACATGCAAACCGCACTGGCACATCCAAAAAATCATATCATAGCAGCATCCAGGGTTGCTAGCTTTTGATTTTGGGCTGCATGCCCATAGGTCCAAAGACAAGCTGAAACATACCCAGTCAAGTGCAGATATTTGTCAGGATGAGATCTCTGTTGCGTCCATCAGGGTCTCAAAGGTCCATGTTGCCAAGAGGGCGACTAAGCCTGGAACCTGATTGAACAAACCGAGGGTGCTTGCCTTCATCGCCAGAGTTCAGCCATCCATTTACCCGGCTCAAATGAGAAACCCAACAATCCAGATCCCATTCTGTTTTTAAGGGGTGTGGGTTTCTAGACCCCTTCTGATGTCGACACCAAAATTGAATCAACCTGGCGGATTGTGAAGTGGCTCTTCAAGATTGAATGATTGGGCAGTGCGAGCCCGACTTCACTGATGCAAACTTATGACAATGGACCCAAAACCATGTCTAGGTCCTCCAGTAGAGAGGTTAGAATAAGGCTACCCTTTTTTCTGTAGTCTATTTTAGTAGGGGAACTCTCCCCAAAAAAGAAACGGCAAAAGGGCACCAATTGGTGGGGGACCTAGATGTAAAGAATCAAAAGGGCGGAGATCCGCTCGGGACTCCCGGGCTTGACTTTTTGACTCCCGCAGGGTAGACTTCAACCTGCGGTGGTTCATTCCCCCCAAACGGAGAACCCCTGGGTTTAAGCCTATCTTGGGGTAGTCAAAATGTGGAACCCTACTCGGGACTATCCCCTTTCTAAGCTTCCACCAGGGACTTTGATGGCTCACTTTGCCCAAGCGGCCATGCCAGTGGCGTAGGACAGCCTCTCCCAGTCCCCGGTGGTGTCCGCGCTCTGCTGCCGGGGGTGCCAGGGTGTAAGCTGAGTGCTGTCCTGGCTGAAAGCGGATCTGGAACTACTGTGGATGGACGAAATCCTGCACCAGAGAGCCCAAAAAAACAATGGCTTCCCATTTTCCCCCCGCGGTGCAGGTTGTGCAGCCATCCCATTCAAACACATCCGCTGGTTCTCACCCAGGGTGCGGAATGCACCAAGTCCGGGATTCAAAACAAAACAAATAGCGTAACCGCACAGAACTCCGAGAGCTTCACCTCTTGACATACAAACATGCATGCCATCCATCATTGTCTCAAACCTATAGACACCAACGAAAAAGAACTGGGTCCGGCCATGGAAGGAAAGAACAACTGAACAAGCCAACGTGCCCTCCCACCAAACACCCAACTGAACAGACCGCTTATGGAACAATAGTTTCCTTTTGGGAAGGAGTCAAGTGCACTTCCACGTTTGTTGGTTGGATTGTCGATTTAGCATGTCAACAAAAAGTGGTGGAAACCCCGTCAAAAGTCATGGTGGAAACCCCGTCAAAAGTCATGGTTTCAGTTTGGCGTCCCTTTGAACAACATGAACCGGTGTTTCCACAAGAAGGGACCCGAGAATGGCCGATGGGCGGTATGCTTTTCAAAACAACCAAAAGAAACGCAAACGAGGCAGAAGCAGCAGGTGGCATTCTAACACATCATGGTCATGTCTCTTCGATGTTGTTTATCTTCTCGATTTCTGTAAGTTGGTCATATGGCTGGATCATGGATCTGAAATCAAAAGGGGTAAGGCCGTGGTGGACTCAAAACCAACCTGCGATATGCAAATGGGCCATCCCCATACCTGATGTCCCACAATTGTCC